GTTGTGTGTGTGTGTGTTGTGTGTGTTTGTGTGTGTGTGTGTGTGTGTGTGTGTATGTTTTCTACGAGATGGGAAGACAACTTAAAGTCACATGTAGTTTGCTTTAGCATACTGTCAAGGACTTATCCAGACACTCAAAGATACTTCCCTTCTGTCTCTCCAACTTCCTCTAGCTGATCTGTACTGCTAGGCCACAAGCCCTGGCAAGAAAGGGAAAGATCACGGGTTGCCAGGGAAAAACTCCTCACAAATAATTAAAAGTTGTCTCAAGTTTGAGGCTGAGAGTTAAGAGAATTGGACTGTAGTTTCAATTTTGCCCTTAATTAACTGGTTGACTTTTGATGAAGTGCTTCCCCTTGAACCTCCTCATCTGTGAAATGAGGGAGTTAGACAAGATGTTCTCTTCAGTCCCTTGCATCTCTCGTGTCCTGTGGTTCTCTGATTCTTTGTTTGTTGAGGCTGCTACCAAAATTGTACCATCTTTTAAGTCATATATTCTACCGGTGAAGACCACTGCACATTGCATTCATCAGTGGGCAATTAACTTTCAATACACAGTGGTCATCACTCATGGAACGTTGAAATTTAATGAATATTAAGATTTAGTGTTATATGTCTTGTTCTTATAGAACTGTGCACAGTATTAAACTTGTCAGAATTAGTAGACAGCTACTGACCTTTTTTGCTTTTATTTTTGAAATCTAAACACAGAATTTAATACCTCTCAAAAATATTGTTGGAGTGAACATTTGGGAAAAGCTTTAACAACCCAAGAGATGAGATTAAGTTTATTTTCCCTTGTTGTGTACTTCGTGAATTAAGAGACTCCTGGGGATGGTAACTTCTGGGGTGGTGGGGGGACTTCAGGATCCTGCTATGTAGCTTATGGCTTTATCATGAATACTGTGCGTTGATAGATTAGTTAGGAGGCCTTTGGCTACATTTAGCGGAGATCCCCATTCAAACTAGCTTAAATAATAAGGGAATTAATGGTTCATAACTAACTGCAGAAGAAGGATGGGTTTCAGGGTCGATTCAATCCAGTGTCATAGGCTCTGCTTCCCTGGAACCCCAGAACTGCCTCGGCAGTTCTCTGCGTTTATGTTGGCTTCATCTTCACGTTGTGCTGTCATTGTGTCAGATGCCTGTAGCATTTTTTCGTTCTGTATTCACGTACTGCAACATGAGGTTTTTTCAACCTTGGCACTGTTGACATTTCAGGCCAGATGATTCTTTGTTGTTGGGGACTATCAGGTGGGTTGTTGGGTGTTTAGCAGCACCCTTGGCCTCTACGTACTAGATGCCAGTAGCACCCTGAGCTGTGATAATCAGAAATGTCTCCAGATATTACCAAATGTTTGCTTGGTGGGGTGGGGGAATGGGGCAAAAATACCCTGCTTAAGACCCACTGGTCTAAAGGAAGACTGACCATTTCTTTAGGTGGCTGTCTAAAATGTGTTTCCTAATAGACCCCAGTTTCCCCCTTTTGTCTTACTGGCTCAGCCTGGGTCACTTCTCCATCCCTGATGCCATCACCCATAAGGGTTGGAATTTCCTTCTACTGATCAGGCCCATCACCGGGGCTAGGGGTGTGGAATCAGCTCCCCTGAGGCTGTGACCTTTTGTGGAGGGTGAGTGCCTCAGTAAAGCTGGTGAGAGAGTGATGGAAGCTGGTAGGAACCCAACAGTGTCCATGATTGCTGTGTTCTAAATTTGTCTTTTGTTTGTTTGTTTTCCCTTCCTCTCAGTGAGGACTATGGAAAGAACTTTAAGGATATTACAAATCTCATCAATAACACCTTCATTCGGACTGAATTTGGCATGGCAATTGGTCCTGAGAACTCTGGGAAGGTGAGACTCATTCATACATACACAAAGCCAGGCTTGCCACCATATGCAGGGCTGTCAGATGTTGATATTGAAATGGTCCAGTGATACACGGCAGTGTATTTAGTTTACTATTACTGTATTTTAAAATTAAACGTAATTTAATACTGATACAGAAGAATGGAATTTAGCACACAGGTTCTTTTCTCAGTCCCTGTCCAAGAGGCACCAGAGCTCTTCATAATTATATGGTGGTGGTTTAGCATTACAGGGTATACATCTTAAGACAACATTTCAGTCTTTTGGGAAGCTGGCTTTATCTCAAATTGACCAGGCTTAAGTTTATAGATATGAGGCACTAGCTCAACTCAGGATAATGTATTTTGATTAAGACTAATACTTGAGGAGTACAGTTTACCAACTAATCTGTTTTTATAACTCTTCTTACTTTTGAAACTAAAATTTTCTTGAAAAATGTCTGGTGAAAATGGTGTGAGAACTTCGTGTACTTTTATAGTATTATACCCTGATTTTGAACTTTCTTCTTCCGAACCAGGTGATTTTAACAGCAGAGGTGTCTGGAGGAAGTCATGGAGGCAGAATCTTCAGATCATCAGATTTTGCAAAGAACTTTATTCAGACCAATCTCCCTTTTCATCCTCTGACTCAGATGATGTACAGCCCTCAGAATTCTGATTACCTTTTAGCCCTCAGCACTGAAGTAAGTCCAGCTGAGGAACTTGTCTTGCCTTTTGCATTTTTATAGTCTCAAACTGTATTGTCCTAAGAGGACCCTGTAGGTAATGCCTTTATGTTGGACTGTTTTCTGGTGATTTCTTATGGCATGAAGTAATGTTTTTTGTTTTTTCTTTTGGTTTTTTTGCATTTTCTCCCCTATTTGGTAAAGGGCACGATTTTCATGTGCTTTCTGTTCCAGATAAGTATGATGTCTAGTTGTCATTACAGTTTTTTTTAAGTGAATAGATATGTGCTGTTAGAGTAATGAACTAGAAAACAGTTTACTGTAATCATCCTTGTGCTGCAAGGGACAAGCGTAAATTGTCAGACCCTGATGTTGTCAGTGTTCCTTTCCTGTGGCCAAACCACATCTTTATAATTTTTTTGTTTTTAGGTCCTTAGTATGTAAAACCTGTTGATTTGTCTTTGACACTCATGTATTAAATATCCAGGGTCTTGAAGCCCTGGATATTTCCCCAGAAATATTCCTATATTCTCCCCAGAAACCAGTGTCCCTCTCTGCCCCTCCCACTTCTCTTCTGAAAGTTCCCTGAGGAGCAGCTCAGCTTTTTCCTTTCCTGAAGGACCAGTCTCCTTTATCATGGATGTTAGGGGCCCAGGGTGGCTGAGTTGCTAGGCTGTGATACTCATAATTATGCTTTATGTTTCTGTGGCTCTCTCTCATCTTATTTCTCAGAGTGTGGTCTACTGACCAGCCACATCAGATAGAAACCCCTGGGAGGCTGGTTTAAGATGCACGTTCCTTGGCCCTGATCCAGATAGAGTACGTCGGTGGCTTGGTTGCAAGATGTCTAATGTTTTTAACAAGCTCCCCAGCAGAATCTGCACGCTAAAATTTGAGAGCCATTGTTGTAATGACCATTCTGGGGATGGAAGTAGGATTATCAAATGTAGACAAGTTGGGCTGAACAAACAGATGACATAGGGAGGGTGAAGGACACTTGGAAGAGAAGTGTGAGTTCTGGGCCTTCTGCGGGCAGATCTTTGGATTGAGGAAAGGCTGGAGGGCTCAGCGAAGGTCAGAGTTAAGCTTAGCTACAGGAGGCCAGAGGAAGGAAACTAGCCTGCTGGGTAGGCGTCAGATCTTAAATCAACAATTCCTGGAAACTGGCCTGTAGCAGCTTGAGCTGAAGGCCCTTCAAGAGAACAAAGAGACCCCCGTAGGAATGGACAGAACCATCCATCTGCCTTTGACCACCCCTTTGCCATTACCAGGTATCTTAAGCTTATTAAAACAGGCTATCCTCAGGAAGAGGCAGGCACAATCTGTTTCACACCTGAAATTTCTTCCGATTAAGGGTAGGTTTGAAGTACAGATAATCATCTTGGAGAAGATGGACCATTTTGTACTAAAGTGCAAATAAGTGATACCAGACCCTTTTCGTGTTTCTAAGTGAAATTGGGTAAATTAGGAATGCTAGGAGGTGACGTTACCAGAGGAGGAAGATGGTGGGTGAGAACTGGGGAGCACTGAAGATAAATTCTGCCTAGATCAGCACCAGTTTAATTTCAGCTATACCACTGAACCTGAGCCCACTAGGCTCATGTGGCCAATGTAACTAAAATTATCAATCTTTATCTTATAAAGTCTCTGCTGTGTTTGAAAGTATTGACCAGTCCTCCTTTGGGGAACTCCACTTGCTTGGCTTCTGGGACATTATTCCCTTTGGTTCTCTCCTATCCTCTAACTATTGCTTCTTAGTCTCTTTCTTAAACTCCTTTCAAGCTACCCTTAAATTGCTCTGACTGATTTTACTCTGAGCAATCTCTTCCCCTTTTACCATTTTAGTACCACTATGATGTATAAGATTCTCGAATCTCAAATCTCCTGGCCTCCTAGGGCTGCAGATTCCTATCTTGTTGCTTCCTTTGTATCTCTAGCTAGATGTCCCACAGGTCCCTCAAACTCAGTCTAAAACTGACTCCCTCCCTGCCCTTCTCTCAGGCATGCTGTTCTTCCCGTCGTCCTTATATGGACTAAAGATTCCACAGTGCTTCTTACTACTCAGCCAGAATCCCAGAGTGTTCACCTTACACACACACACACACACACACACTCACACACTCACACACTCTCTCTCTCTCTCTCTCCGTCTCTCTCTCTCCATCCTGCCCTACAGGAAAAGTCATCCAGTTCTACTGAATCTAGCTTCTAAATTCTTCCTGAGCCTACTCCTCACAGCTGTGGTTTCAGGCCTCACTAACTCCTAGTGAGCTAATGTAGCAGTTATTCACTGTTTTTCCTGCTCCTAGTTTGGACCCTCTGAAATCCATCTGCCATTGTCATCCAAGTATTCCTCTTAGAAAACTAAAACTGCCTGTCATTCAGCTACTTAGTGCACCTCCTCCTTTAAGGACCTCGTATAAAATAAAGACCAGGTTCCTCAGCACAGCATAGAAGGAGGGCTCTCCATGAGCGGGCCCCACCTCTGTCCCCAGTTTGGCTTCTCCTCTCCTCACCGTGGAATCTGTGCTTCATCTGTGTCTGAAGGCAAAGCTCCCTGCACATACTGGGATGTTTCACTACCTCTCTGCCTCTGCTGATACCAGTCTGTCTTTGTGCAGGGACATCTCATCTCCCCATTTGCCTTCTTTTGGCTACGCTGCTCATCATTTGACTCAGTTCAGCTGTCTTCTTCACATCTCTGATGCAATGTCCCTCCTTTCCTTACTCTTACCCCAGAGACCGTGTTGCCATAATACTTACCACATGTATCAAAGCTTCTAATCTGCATCCCTTGTTAAACTGTGAGCTCCTTAAGAGCAGGGAATGTGTCTTATTCATCTTTGTATCCCCAATGCAACGTCTGGTACAGTGCCTGGCACATAGTAGGCACTTCATAAGCACTTGTTGTTCTGAATTTCCAAGACCCTGAAGGGGCCCCCGTAAACCGTGTGTGTGTCTGTGGAGCTCAGGCTTGGATGGAACTTCAGTGTGTGTTTTTACTGTCCTGAATGATTAGATATGAATTATTAAAGGTCATACAAGCAGCTGCACAGGATAAAGCTGGAATTTTGATAAGTCATTTATAATCTTTCAGAATGGCCTGTGGGTGTCCAAGAATTTTGGGGGAAAATGGGAAGAAATCCACAAAGCAGTATGTTTGGCCAAATGGTGAGTAACAGAAGATTCCATCTGTGCAGAGCCCTAAACCTTTCCTGATGGTGCTGCCAAAAGTCACATGAATAAATATTGAGCACTTACTATGTGCCAAGTACTCTTCAGGATGTGGTAAGGGATACGAGAGAGGGGTATGACACAGACCTTGACCTGGAGGAGCTTCTAATTCCACTGGGAAAGAAGACTTAGTCTCGCCAAGTGTTAGTATATAAAGTATAAAATAAGGCGCATTACTGAGTAGCTGCTGCCTAGAGAAGGTTTATTCTATGTAAATGATGACATCAATTGCAATAAAATACAGCTTTGATCTGGGGACTTATGTACTCATCTAGAGAGCCATTTCAGTTACGTGGAACGTTGTGAGGAATCACGAAAAAGCTCACAGAGCTTCCAGGCTGCCAGAGTCATACGTCTGTGCCCCAAAGCTCATTCATCCCCCGCCGCCCCTGTGCCTGCTTAAAGATGATAGCGTGCAGGAGGCTCTTACCTGGGAGTCAGGTCCCCTTTGTTCTAGCCTGGGTCCACTGCTAGTCAGCGGCTCAACCTCTCTGGGCTTTGGTTTTTCCTTTCTGTGAAAGGAGGTTTGTTTAGGGGATGGTTATTTGAGGGATGGTTGAGCACAGATTGAATTAAGGGCCTTTATACCCCCAAAATTCTGACTAGGCTCAGACCCTTGTTTAGAGCCTCCATCTTCTTTCTCTGACTAATTTCAGCAAATTTGTCTGTGTGGTTTCCCAGAGGATAGCAGGTTGCTGCCAGAGGTGGAGCATGTGAGTGCGAACAACAAGCACGGGCCACCCTGAGAGTCTGCTGCCTGGGAGCCGCGGGGAGGCAGAAGAAGTCTAAGAGCAGGCAGGGGCAGAGCGCAGCAGGACCAGAGTGTCCAGTGCGGTATCAGGAGGGCTCACGCGCCTCTGTAACTTCTAGTGGGAACCCTGTGTTTCACTTTCACATGGTTGTTGTTCACGAGGATGGACCATAATCCCAAGGAGGAGTTTAATATTTAATGTCCTCTACTTGGGGAGATAGCAAAATGTGTAATATAGACATTGCCAAAAACGTCTACTAAAATTAACTGAAATATTAAAAAATGGTGCTTAAGTAAAGTGTCCTTTTTTAGAAAATGCTGGTTAAATGAGATTTTCATAGCACCACTAGGATACGCATGCTGCATCTGCTTTTGTTTTTGTATTTTAGTTAATTGTATTTGTATCCTAGATGGCCTATCAGGAAGGAATTTTTAAAGTCACTAAGTTAACCAGTTATTTAATTCCTGATGCACCTAAAATATGTAGGATATGTTTAAGTAAGACTATAATAAATTTGATCATTGAAACTCATCTTTACGTATATATATCAAATCACCACAATATGCACTTTTAATATCTTATAATTTTGTCAATTATACCTCAATAAAGCTAAAAGAAACAAACAAAACTCATCTTTAAAACGAAAAAGTTTTTTTAAATCATATTTTGTATCCTATACAAGATTTTTTACTTTTGTAACTTGTTTCTTTGAATAGTTAGATATAAGACAGCTGGGCTGCTGGTAACTGTTTACTCACTTTTTAGATCTTTGGTTTCTAGAAATTTACAACCTAAAGTTCTGAAAGAACATACTCAAGACCCAGCACCCATTTTTTTATTGAAGTATAGTTGAATTACAATATTATATTAGTTTCAGGTGTACAACATAGTGATTCAAAAATTTTATAGATGGTACTCCATTTGTGCTTATAAAATATTGCCTGCGTTCTCTGTAATGCACAATATATCATTGTAGCTTATTTATTTTATACATAGTAGTTTGTGCCTCTTACTCTCCTACCCCTATCTTGCCCCTCCCCCTTTTCCTGTCCCCACTCGAAGTAACCACTAGTTTGTTCTCTCTGACACCCAGCACCTTTTGCTGTGGTAATCATTAAGTATTATCAGGATCTGAATCCAGTTCCCTGCAGACTCCCTTTCCAAGTTAGAATTTAAATAATTCAACCTCTGACCTAGTTGTCTATTTGAGATGAAAGATCTAAATTATTTAGTGCATGCAAAGTTCTAAGGGAAAACAGTAGGTTCCCTAGGTTCTAAGGGAAAACAATAAAGTATTAAACTTAGTACCTGCCCTGAAGAACTCCATAGTGTAGCAGGAGAGATAAGGCACACACTCTGCAATTAAAATAGCCAAACAGGAGACAAAGGAGCGCCAAGTGGCTGACACAGAGCAGCACAGGGCTCCGGAGAAGGGTTTCTCAGCTTCAGCACTGGCGGCGCTCGGACTGGACGGCCCCTCGTTGTGAGGCCGTCCTGTGCATAGCGTGACGTTTAACTCCCTCAGTTGTGGCAACCAAACACGTCCCTTGGGGAGCAAAACCGCCCCAATTGAGAACCAGTGCTCTAGAAGTTTGCAGCAAAGAAGGCTCCCAGTTAGAGTGATAGGGAAAGCTTCATGGAAGAGCTAGATTTTAATCTGGAGCCTGAAGATTGTGAACATAAAATTTAGTTACACGAGAGAAAAGCGTTTTAAGAAGGAAACAGTGTGACCAGATGCAGGTTTCGAGAGTGTAAGTTGCCTAGTTTGACTGGCTGGAAGAGCTCACATAAAGAAGAAGGGGACTGTGGGAAATGCCCGGGCCAGGCTGTGGGGAACCTCTATGTAAGGCTGTGGAAGAATCAGGTGTGCAGCATCCAAGAAGGCTGCTTGAGCTGGTACCAGGGATGCTGGCACCCAGCGATGAAGCTTATTAGACGTGCTTGGAGCTAAGTGACTAAGGCTGACACAGTCTATTAGCAGTCTTGAACCGTGTCTTTTCCCTGTCTTTGCCTCATTGTAGGGGATCAGGAAACACCATCTTCTTTACCACCTATGTGAATGGCTCCTGCAGTAAGTATATTTTAGTCCCAGCAAAGAGTGTCCTGGTAGAATATTCTGGGTTGTAAGAGGCAGAAGCTTTAAAGTTCCTTCCATTATCCTATAATTTTAATGCTAAAGACAGCTATTAATGATTTTTTGGGGGGGGGGGGTCAAAAAGCTAGATTTATTGGGGTTTTTTTTTTCAGGTTTCAGTTTTATTAGGTAGAATTGTCACAGTTTGACTGCACATATACAATATATTGCACGTAAATACATATGTACAATTTACTGCACATTTTTTAAAATTTGCATATACGTACTATTCATTATTTCTAAGAATGTTTAGAGCTTTAGTTTTTAAACTTACATAATTATCAAAGGAACAAAGCCAACCACAAAATAAGAATTAATTTAAAAAGATACATATACCCCGCTATCAACTAGCTGTTAATGATTTTTAAAATCTTGGAAGTTACGTTACTGTGCCGAGATCCAATTAAAAATGCAGGCTATACACAGAGACAGTATACTTAATTTTAGTAATGTATTTATGTAAAGTAAATATTGGGCTACAAACAAGAAACAAATTGAAATGCATAGTGATTTCTGCCCAAGAACATGGATTGTGTTTGTGTTGGCCATTGGTTTTCCAGTCAGTGGTACAGTTTCAAAGCAGAAAGCATAATCTTTCACTTATTCATTCAACAGATTCATTTCATATATTCATTTGTTTGCACACCTGCAGTGGTCTGCTAAACACTATTGTAAGGATGGAGAGAACAAGGCACCCAAGGCCTCCTTTCATGGAGGTTAAATTCAAATAAGGATGTTGGATGAACAGCGGGAAAACCAAAACTCAAACAAGACAACTTAAAATAGAATAATTTCAAACTGTGTCATGAAGAAAGTAAAGCAGGATGCTGTGGTTGTTGGTGTTTTTATGCAACACTGTATTGGAATTAAGTAAACTGTCTTTCTGTCCAGTATTAAACCTCACATGTATAAAGATAAAACCCAAATGTGAATTTCCTATGTCTAACACTATGATTTTTATTGTCACTTGATTAACATGCATAGGATTAAAAATCCTTTTGCTGTAAAATTAAGAGGAATTCTAAAACAGTTGTTTTGAACTAGAGGCTCACTAGTAAGTGAAATTTTAATTAACATTTTGTCTTGTTTAAGAAGCTGACCTTGGGGCACTGGAATTACGGAGAACTTCAGACTTGGGGAAAAGCTTTAAGACCATTGGGGTGAAAATCTACTCATTTGGTCTCGGGGGACGGTTCCTTTTTGCCTCTGTGATGGCTGATAAGGTGGGTATTTGCCTCTTCTCTTCCAGTTCTGATATTTCTGTAAAATATGCCTCAGATAGCTTTTATTATTTGTACTGATGGAGTTTCTTACCCTTTCACAATATTTAATCAGTGTAAGACTTGGAAGTGATTCTTTTTATAGAGGCCAATTGACTCTTCTGGGCAACTCTGTACTTTGGCCTGTGTCACCATGTGAATTCTGGTATCTGTTTTGAGATATGTAAATCCAGTGTTTGGGCTTTACTCAGACATGGCTGTCTGAAAAAAGGCAATCCACTTGCTCATTTTCCAATAATAATAATGGAAATATGTAGCACTAAGTGAGTACCTACTATATACCAAGTAGTATTCTAGGTTCCTGGCATACAGCAACTAACGAAACATAAATGTCCTGCTTGCAGAGGTTCCATTCAAGTAGGGAGATAGATACTAAATTAATAAATATGATATAATATCAGGTAATGATTAAAGCTCTGAAGAAGTCGAAAGCAGAGTAAATCCATAGGAAGTGGCAGGGGTGGGAGCAGTCCTGTTGAATTCGGATCGGATGGTTCAGATGGGCTCTCTGAGACCTGACTGCAATGAGGGCAGAGCTCTGTGGACGGGAGGCTGGGGAAGCAGGGAGTGCCCAGGCCCTCGGGCTGCAGCCTGCTTGCAGTACTGAAGACGAGTGAGAAGGGCCATCCAGAGACAGGGAGCCAGTGGCCAGATCACACAGGGCCTTTATAGGCCCCATTTAAGACCTTGCCTTTCATCCTTCACGTGCTGAGAAGCTGGGTTGCGAGGAGGGGAATGGCATGATTCGCCTTCTCTTTTGGCAGAATAGGTGTGTGTGGAGTAGCCTGATGGGGCAGGAATGGAAGCAGCAAGAGCAGTAGTGAGAGAGATGGTAGTTGGACCAGGCCGTTAACAGTAGATGAAGGGAGAAGTGGAAAGATTGTGGATGTATTTTAAATGTATGGCCAATAGGATTTGCTGATGGGTAAGATATGGATTGTAAGAGAATGAGATGAATCAGGGGTAACTTTAGTGTTTGACCTGAGCAACTAGGTGAATGGTGGTGCTGTTCACTGAGATGGCAAAGACTGCAGGAGACGCGAGTCTGGGAGGAAAATCAAGAATTCAGTTTTGGATGCAAGATACCTAATAGTTATCCAGGTGGAGAAGTCAAATAAGCATTTGGGTGTATGAATCTCCCCAAATTATATGGTATTTAAAGCCATGTGATTGGATGATGTCTTGTGGAAGAATGAGTAGGTAGAGAAGAGGTGGGAGGGCTGAGCACCTGGTGCCCTGAAGCACCCCAGCACGGAAAGGTTGGAGGGAGATGGAGAAGCCAGCAGGGAAGACTGAGAGGGAGGAGCCAGGGAGGTGGGGAAAATAGGACAGCGTGATGTCACGAAAGCCAACTGAAAGACAAGTTTCAAGAAAGAAGGAGTGATCAGCTGTGTCAAGTTCAGCTGAGATGTGGAGTTAGATGAGTTCTGAGAATTAGCCACTGGAGTTGGAAAAGTATAGGTTGCTGGTGACCCTGATGAAATCAGTTTCCTTGGAGCACTGGGTTTAAAGACTGGTTGGAGTGGGTTCGGAGCAAATTGGAGACGGGTAGTAGGCACTTTAACTGCAGATCACTCCCTCGAGCAGTTTTGTAATAATCCTCCCAATAACCCTATAAGCTCCGACTGTTATCTCGGTTTTTATTTGAAGAAATTGTGTAACATGCCCAGGGTGACCCAGACGTGGAACCCTGGTGGAAATCCGGTGGTCTGATTCCAGAGGTGGCCACCTACAACACTGTACTGCTGCTATCTGCAAAACTAAAATTCTACTGTGTGCTTTGAACTCTAGTTTCTACCTATAACAGTGAGACTAAGACTTAAAGTAAACATCTAAGGTGTCAGTTAGAAAAATAAATTAAATGTACTTGTCACTGAACTTTAGAGTATTTAACATAAGGCGGCTCTGGGACTAATTCTCGTGTCCGGGCTAAACTGTGTCTAGTAGCGACCTTAAAGTACTTATCAGACAGTAGGTGTTAACTGCCGCCTTAGCAGACTCCTTTTAACAGCTAAGTAAATACTTCCTCATCGGCTGCCTTCTATTAATGTCTGCCTCTCCTTGACCCCTTCCCAGCCTGTGCATGTTCCCTTCATTATGGCCGTTCTGATGGCCTTCTGTAAAGAGGAGATGTGTGTCACATCTTGCCTCTCTTCATGATCTCCCAAGTCTGGGTTTCATCTCCATTTTCTAGACTGTTAATTATCTAATTCTTTGGATTATGCCAGAACTATCTCAAAGGGACTAAACTTTTGTTTAAGAGTCATGATTTTAAGAATTCTCTTAGCAAGCACATGCAAACGGCTATAAAACTAAACTAATGATGGTCCCAACAAACCCTTAGCTCTATTGAAGGAAATTAGAATTGGAATGTCAGAGGTCGGGAGGATATCTTACAGAGCCACACCAGAATGCAGAAGCCAAAGAGGAAGCCAAGGTAGCCGTACTTACAATAGAATGGATTGTTCCATTGCCTGGATCTTTGCAAGAGGTTAGAAATAGCTTTGGTACCTGGTACCAGGACCTTTCATTTGTAACAATTGTATCCAGTGAGGAAATGCATAATGATACATACAATTATTAGTTATAATGTTTTTATTCATGTCCCTGCACATAGCATCTTGGTTGGTAGAAAATTAAAAAGATAAATATTGGCATTTTTCCCCAGGATACAACAAGAAGGATTCATGTGTCAACAGATCAAGGGGACACGTGGAGCATGGCCCAGCTCCCCTCCGTGGGGCAGGAACAGTTCTATTCTATTCTGGCAGCTAATGATGACATGGTGTTCATGCATGTGGACGAACCTGGAGGTGAGAGCTTTGCAGTGGCACTCTTGCACCCTGGAATGTGTAGAGATTTAAGCTCCAAACCCTATTTTGAGTAGCTTTCCTTCTTACATGTTGATTCTTCCCCTTAGCCCTAGGAATTTATTAGTGGCTTACTGAATACGCTCTTTTAGAAATGACATGTAGCTTCTGTGAAAAAGGCCACTTGCTTTGCCACTCCAGCACGGTTTGTATATAGGCACAGGGGTTCCAGAGCAGTGCTGCTCAAAGAAGGGTCAGAAGACTAGAACTCGTCTGCAAATGCTTTATTACCATATAAGTAGAGAAAGCAAGAGCGAGCATTTAGCAACTCTTACAGCCATTTGGCAAAGTAATTTTATGTCTGTTGAGTCTAATAAAAAAAAGTTGAGGATTATATTTTGTCTTTCTTTTGTATTTCATTTTTCTAGTGATTAATTTTTGCCATAGTTTACAGAAGCATTGGTTTGTACATAATTGAAATTTTAAAATTGATCCTTCACCACAGAGAGTTTGAGAAGCATCATTCTAGAATGTAAAGATTCAAAGAGGTGTAAGATATGAAGCTAAATACAGTGCCTCTGCTACCAAAATATAACGGGGAGCTTTTCTATAACATTTGATTAATTCATTCAACAAATTTGGCATCTACTATATTTCAGGTACTAAACTAGGTACTAGACTTAAAGATGGCCACGAAGATCTTGAGTATCAAACCTTGATTAATTCTCAGGTCTGCGCCTACATCGTGAAGAGAGACAGTTGGCTAATGTGTACAGTCAGTCAGTCATGTGTGTGGTTAGACTAATATTTTGTCTCTGTTCCCTCCCAAGACTTAGTGTCTTTGTTTGCCTGTTCTAGATACTGGATTTGGCACCATATTTACCTCGGACGATCGAGGCATTGTCTACTCCAAGTCCTTGGACAGACACCTCTACACCACCACGGGCGGTGAAACGGACTTTACCAACGTGACGTCCCTCCGTGGGGTCTATATGACAAGTGTGCTCTCAGAAGGTGGGTCTTGGCATAGCTATCCTTCAGCTGAACGTGTTGGGAGTTTAGGCTTTTGGGGAAAGTGATGGTCCTGTGCCCCCAGTAATGCTGCTTGCCTGGCCAGCAAGCCTGTCCAGGTAAATTCTGGGTCTCCATTTTAAATAAGTTACGGTAAACAGAACTAAAAAAGAACATAGCGACAGCTGGCAGAAAGAAAGATCTGGGGTGTTCTATGTTGTTTAGTTTATAAAATAAGCCTTCTGTGTTGGGAGGTCCAGGCCTACAGGAAGGGATTTGAACCACTTACTGCTTTTCTCCCTGTAGAGGGCATAGCAATAGCCAGCGAAGAGCCCTCCTGTATTTTCTTCAGTGGTTCTGCAGAGCTCACCAGGCCTAGTTGTACAAATAAGTGCTTTAAAGTACAAAGACGGTTAAGGTTTTGTTTATTTGTGTATTTGTGTTTTGGTAGGAGGTGGGTGATGTTTGTTTCTATTTTGCAAAGACCTTGCAATCATCTACAAAGTCTAAGTGCTACGGCCCCCGAGTTCCTCCCTAACTTCACCTCCCACTCTTCTCCCCTTTGCTCACTCTCCTCTAGTCACTCCAATCTTTAAAGTCCTAAAGTCACCGCCAGTCCTTAAACACACCAGGTTCACACACTCGTAGCTTAGAGGTTTGCACTGATTGTCTTCTCTCTTTCCTGAAATATCTGCAAGGCTAACACCTTCCTCCTCCCAGTCTTTGTTCATGTTACCTTCTGATGAGACCTGCCCTGACTATTTTATTTTAAATTTTCAGTCGGCTTCCCCCTACACACACACACGCACACATACACACACATACACTCTGAGTCCGCCTCTAGCTGTGCACGTTTTTTCCATAGCACTTACTTTCTAACATACTGTATAATTTACCTGTTTACAATGTCTAGTGTTTGTCTGTCTCACCCAACTAGAATGTATATGTTACAAAGTTTTTCTCCTGTTTGGTTCGCTGATGTATTCCCAAAGCCTTACAGCAGTTTTTACGTAGTGGGCGTGCACTAAACATTTATTGAATAAATGAATTTTCCTTTGTTTGCTCTCTTTGATTTTCCTTGAAAAACTCAAAGCATAATATCTCTGAATTTCAACCTGCAACAGTTTATATCATTAAAAACAGAAGATGGAGAAGATACATGAGGGAAAAAGGTATAAGAAGATAGGATATGGAGTAGTAGAAAGACAAAAATTAAGAATTATTGAGACTTAGGCAAACTCGTTGATAACGTGTTGTTTAGATTCCCTAAAACAAGCCTGGTATCATGGCCTTGTCTGCATAAAGATTAGAATGCCTTCCCATTGTAGATTTTACTTCCAAGGCAAGCAAGCAAGCAAGCAAGGAAGAGCAGATGTCATCCTGCTTGTGTCAGTTAGGAGATAAGAGGTACCTTTTTCCAAGAGCCTCAGTCTAGATGATTTTTGGAATCAGCTGGGTCCTGTGCAGGTAGGAAGCCTCTTTTCAATACCATGGTTAGAGTTCTGCTCAGTTCCTCACCAGCCCTGAGCCGTTTTGTTGGATGTCACAAGCTTGTGGGACCCCGGGGTTCTGAGGGTGTTATATAGTCTCTGCTAGGAGAGAGTTACACATGAGAAGCTGAATTTAATAGGGTGCCTCCAGCTATCAGGCTTAATATCATCCTTTCCCAATTCAGATAATTCCATCCAGACTATGATCACTTTTGACCAAGGAGGAAGGTGGAAGCACCTGAGGAAGCCTGAAAACAGTGAATGCGACGCTACCGCAAAAAATAAGAACGAGGTTTGTTTTTACTCCACTGTCATATGTATTTGGAGCAAAGCAGCCATTCTGTTCTGCTCTTGTTAGCGCCGGGCTTTGGAATAATGAAGTTGTGTGCCCGATGAGGGTCCACAGCTAAAGGTGGAAAGTTTGCATATGAGAGGTTGAAATTAACCAGGTTGTAGGCAATAGGAACTGAAAAAGAAAAAAGGCCAAAATATTATGGCTTATCTGTCTTTTAAAGGAAAACTAAACTGAAGGCTAACAATTTGTGTTGTACTAAACTGCTGAGTGAAAACAGAGTGGACAGATGGGCTGGTGATTAGCTAGCAGTAATCATGGCAGCTCTGAGACTTTAGGAATTCTACAGAAAGCCATAGGCCAGCTATTCATGAGCAATGCAAAGCTTGCTGGCTAGAAACAAATGGAGGAGAATGTGGCCTCTCTTCCCCTCTGCCAGGGTTTCACGTGGCCGGTGGGTGTGGGAGGTGACCCGGTGTGGCGTGTGAGAGCAGGACCTGACCCCTCGGAGAGACCGAGAACTAGAAATACAAAGGCATTGCTACAGGAGATCCCAGATTCCATGAGTGACAGGTCTTGACAGGCAAGGGAAAGAGAGAAAACAAACAAGCTTTGTGTCTGGCTCTTATAGAATTTGAGAGGAGCTTAGCAGAACCCAGGGAGTCTTCTTCAAAAGTGACAGCATTAGGAGTTCCGAGCTCTCCTCTGAGTCCTGTGGCTGACGTGCACTCTGCTGTGTAGGCTGGGCTTTCTGTTTTGTTCTAAGAGCCTCAGTGTGAGATAGATGTGCCTACACCACCCCCAACATTCTCTCTCCCTTCTCTGTGCTCAGGAGTGCTGTTGAGTCTCTCTTCCCTTCCACTTCCCTTTCCCCATCCCTCTGCCCTGGCCCTGTTCTGCGCCTGCCCTCCTCACCCTAAGCCTGGGCAGGTACATGTCCTCTTTACCTAGCTTGCCACCTTCACACGCCCATGCCTCTCCCTCCCCAACTCTCTCCATGGTTCCCCTTTGCCTGTGACCTGGTGAATAAAGGCCCCCTCCTCCCCTGTTAGGTTCTCTCCTGCCTTTTCATTGTCATTGCCCGCTTTATCACTGACATCCCCCTGGTAACCTCTGCTGCTTCCTGAACACCCTGCATGTGCCACTTGCCCATGTTATTCCTGGGAAAGTTGTGCCTGTCTTCCCTCCCCCCAGTTCATTAGGATTAGTGGAAATCCTAACCACCCTTAGTGCCCACCTCCGCTTAGAACGAGTCATCCCTCTTCATTTCACTAGTAGTTGCCTGAAGTTTTTTAAATTGCAGTAAAATATACATGACGTAAAATTAACATTTTAGCCAATTCGAATGTCTTGTAAAGCACTCATTTTCATCCTGCTTTATACCTCAACTAGTTTCTGAGATGTATTTCTTAAAGGCAGGACTGAGTAGTATTTTATCACAACCACATCTTGTACAGTATCTGAAATATATCAGGCATTCATCAAGTTTATTTGTGTGCAGTCATGCTTTAAATATTGATCAGGGGCTTTGGTGTAATGCAGGAATAAAATTAACTAAGACAGATTACACATGAGAAGATAATTGCATAATTTGCTTCCTCCAAATACACTAATGCATTTCAGAATCAAGAATATCTCGCTGAGCCTATAAGTCAACAAAAAAAACCAAATAACTCAAACCTAAAATGGGCAAAGGACTTGAATAGACCCTTCTCTAAAGAAAATATACTAATGGCCAGTAAGCACATGAAAAGATGCTCAGTATCACGAATTATTAGGGAAATGCAAATCAAAAAATTTGATTTGCAAGAGATTACCTAAGATGCATTAGGATGGGTACTATCAAAAAAAAATAATAAAATGAGTGTTGATGAGAATGTGTAGAAACTGGAATCCTTGTGCACTGTTGGTGAGAATGAAAATTGTGTAGCCACTATAGAAAACAGTATGATGTCCTGAAAAAAATTAAATGTCAAACTATCATATGATCCAGCCACTCCACTTCTGGGTATATATCCCAAAGAACTGAAAGCAGGATCTTAAGTGATATTTGCACATGAGTGTTCATGGCAGCATTATTCACAACATTTAAAAGATAGAAGCAATCCAAGTGTCCATCAGCAGATAAATGAATAAGCAAAATGTGTTGTATACATACAGTGGAATAATATTCAGCCTTAGAAGGGGAGGGAATTCTGACACATGCTACAACGTGGATGGAGTGTAAAAGGACATTATGCCAAGTGAAATAAGCCAGTCACAAAAGGACAAATACTGTATGGTTCCACTTAGATGAGATACCTAGAGTGGTCAGATTTACAGAGATGGAAAGTAGAATGGTGGTAGCCAGTGTATGGGGGAAGGGGAAATAGGGAGTTACTGTTTAATGGGCACAGAGTTTCAGTTTTGCAGGATGATGAAGTTTCAAAGACATGATGGTGATGGTTGCACAACAGTGTGAATGTACTTAACACTACTGAACTATACACTTAAAAATGTTTATCTTAAGATGGTAAATTTTATGGTATGTGATTTTTACCACAACTTTTTTTTAAAGAGTATCACGCGGACGTCTGGGTTAATAAGTTGAAAGCCTTTATTAAAAGGCTCTGTGAGATGAGTAAAACAAATGTACACGTTTGATTTTAATCTAAGCTTTGGTTTCTTTCCACAGTGCAGCCTTCATATTCACGCTTCCTACAGCATCTCCCAGAAGCTAAATGTTCCAATGGCCCCACTCTCAGAGCCTAACGCTGTCGGCATAGTCATCGCCCACGGTGAGCAGCCCGCCCGCACCTCCGCGGGAAGAAGTAGTTGAGCATGCTGAGACTCAGTCTTCGTGTTGAACCCTGAACCCTGTGGGAAAACCACCATACGTGGCTTTTACCATCCTTTGTAGAGTTTCTTGCAAGATAATGATACTGTGGGTTTCTCATAGACTCCCATCAGAGAGCAACAAGATTCCCTGTACCAAATTGTCAGTGGCCTTTTTTTCTATTACAAGAGCCGTGATGGGAAATAACTAGAATAAATACATTCAGAATTACTCTTTGACAGTAAGTCCTCTCTGTTTCACTGCTGATGTGTGCTGATGAGATGGTCGATTGTGTTGCAGGTAGCGTGGGGGATGCCATCTCAGTGATGATCCCAGATGTGTACATCTCAGATGATGGGGGTTACTCCTGGCTGAAGATGCTGGAAGGACCCCACTATTACACCATCCTGGATTCAGGGGGCATCATTGTAGCCATTGAACACAGCAGCCATCCTATCAATGTGATTAAGTATGCATGAGCTCAGCTCCACCCACACTGTCTGCATAGAGGGCAACTGTGGGATGTTTTTCAGTTTGTTGGGGGAAAGTTAGAGACCGTGATTCAGATTAGTGCATTCTATAGAGCTGTGGGGAAGATTCTTGAAGGAATTGTGTTTAGAGCAACTCAAATTAAATGGCTTCACTTTTTCCTCCGATTCCCTCTAGCTAGCATTTCTTGTCACTTTAAAAAAATATTCTCTCTCCCCACAAGAATATTATGGAAGCATGTGAGCACTCTGGATGGGAACTGATTCCTTAAGTATAAGTTCTTATTCAGTAATTTCTGTTTGTTGACTTAGAAGCCCAGTCTTACATGGATCACCAACCTCTCTTTCCTTTGGAAGAATTTTTATTAAAAAGGCATTTTCTTCTTACTCATTCTTCCTCCCCCCCCCCTCCCTCTCGCCCTCTTTCTTCCTTCCCCCCTTTCCTTCTCTCTTTTCCCTGTTAACTATAGGCATTAACAATTAATATAACTGTGAGTCAGTAAGCCACCACCTAAATATAAGAATTTTTCTCTGATTTGGGATCAAGCAGCCATAATGGTTTCCTGATATTCCCATAGTGTTGATTCTCTGTCATGATCTTTCTCTAACTGTGGTTTCAGGTTCTCCACAGACGAAGGTCAGTGCTGGCAAACCTACATGTTTACCAGGGAGCCTATCTACTTTACCGGCCTGGCTTCAGAACCTGGAGCCAGGTCCATGAACATCAGCATCTGGGGTTTCACAGAATCTTTCCTGACTCGCCAGTGGGTCTCCTACACCATTGATTTTAAAGACATCCTTGAAAGGAACTGTGAGTGTCTCCTTTGACCTTTCCTATGAGAAACTTGTAAGCCCATTTCCTAAATAACCAATTGAGTTTAATTTCTTCTAGCTGGAATAAGAAAATCATGTATATAAGAGAGAATTGAAGGATCTTCCACGTGGGTGAGCAGGCAATGGAATGGTATCAGAAAAGCAGCTTCTCTCTTTGGATTAGCCCTGTCCAAGAGAAGTAAAATGAGGGCTACATATATAATTTAAATTCTTCTATCAGCTAGCTACATTATAAAAGTAAAAGAGGTAAAATTAATTTTAATAATAAAATTATTTCAATATAGCCAAAATACTATTTCCACATATAAGCAATATTTTTAAATTACTTTTTAAACAGTCTTTTTTTGATGGAGGTACTGAGGATTGAACCCAGGACCTTGTGCATGCTAAGCATGGACTCTACCACTGAGCTATATACCTTCCCCTCTTAAAATTATTAATGAAATATTTTACATTCTTTTTTTTCCAAGTCCTCCAAATCCAGTGCATATTTTACACTCACCCTTATAGTAAATTTCAGTTCAGACCAGCCACATGTGGACCATATAGGAGAGTATAGTTTTGCACTGTTAGATCTCTGTAACATTTTCTGAGAATTCTGCTTGTAAGGATAATGCATGTTTATGTTTGTCTAAAATTATTTCAAACTACTTCAGGGTTTTTCACCCTTGATTAACAGCAGAACTGTAAAGAGGAAACTTTAGAGGGAAGTGTGTTGCAAAGAGCATCTAACTGATTGTGTCACTTATCAACATGTTGAAGTGAGGAAGTTTCCGTGCAGAATTTGGCTTGAACATCAGTCATGGGTGAGGCTCTAGTCTGGCTACTGAGCAGGCGTGAAGCCCACACTGACCATTTCCGAATGCTGTGACTTCAAACTGGAAGACATGTTAAAGGCCCAGAAAATGACTTCAGAAAGGAGTTAAAATATTTATTGCAAGGTGTTCCTAAAGAATCACAAGCAAACCCAGGTGCCCAGTACCAAAGATGCTGACATTGTACTGAAAATATGGAGGATAAAAGAAAAAACTGGAGAAAAAGTGACCACCTGTGACCCGTAGTTTCTTATTTGGCATAATACGGTAGAAGACCAAAAGTTTCGAGGCGCTTTATTTGAATTTTGGTCCTGACCATTATGAGACTTTATTTTTTTTTTTTTTCATTATGAGACTTTATTAGGGCCCTATTTCCTCAGCATGTCAATTCAGTGACTCCTGCAGGAAGCAGAAGCCATCAGTGTGGACGTTACTCTTCTACAAAATGTTTCAACATGATTTAAAACTGGAGCTTCATTATTATCTAAATTCCCTAAACAGGCTGTAGAGGAGCTGGCTTATAAGTTTTCCCCTCAGCAGGCAGCTCTACAGTTATCCCTGAAGTTTAACATCATTAAAGGATTTGTTAAGCACCTGCTCTTTAGCGGGCTCTGTGCTGGTCTTCCTATCCTGAAGAATAAAAACCTCATCCACAATCTTTAGGCCATAGTCTTTGAGTCATTTTTCCAGGAGTGGATGGTATGATATACTAAGCCAGGTTGACTGTCATCAACAGTCTTCATTTGAAAGCCAGTCAGCAAGAGTTAGAAGTCTAGAAAGAGAATGTTTTCCCTTCTGTTTGAAGCAAACTAACCCATAGTGAAATTAAATCCATGCTTTTGGCTAATTGATATCTTGTCCTAAGAGCAAACATCTAGTTGCTTACCTCTGACAGCTCCCGCTGACCGAGGGCACAGGTGTATAAGAATTAAAGACAGCAGCCTCTCAGTGTGGAAGAAACCTTAGAGGTTCTCTATCCAGCTTCCCTCTTCAAAATAAATAAGGTTTTTCCTAAAACTCAAATGGATGGCGAGATCAAAAACTTGTTCTTAGTCATGAGGAAATGCCAGTTACTAGTAGGCTCCCACTAATGGAACTTTTCATGAGCAGTTCCTAAAGGAAGCAAGTCAGACATCCCCACTTTCCCTCTCCTTGTTCTCCCTATAGCCTGGCAGCTGCCTCACGTGGGTGGAGTCTGTGCCATGCAGTTTCCTGAACAGCCTATCTTTCCTTTAGGTGAAGAGAAGGACTATACCATATGGTTGGCTCACTCCACAGACCCTGGAGATTATGGAGATGGCTGCATTTTAGGCTATAAAGAACAGTACCTGCGGCTCCGCAAGTCATCCGTCTGCCAGAACGGTCGGGACTATGTTGTGACCAAACAGCCATCTGTCTGTCCCTGCTCCCTGGAGGACTTCCTCTGGTACCAGCATCCCTCAGACCCCTGTCAGCCTCTTCCTGTGCTAGAGGAGGCGAAAGACAGTTGAAAAACATTTAAATCCTTTTATTCCCCTTCTTGCTCAAAAGTGGAGAACTGTTGCTTCTTGTTAAGGAAATTGAGGTGCAGAGAAAGGGAAACAAAGTTGTTAATAATTGGACAGATTATATTATCATGTCAGGCAGCTTATTAATGTGGAGAACCAGCAACAACCCCCAGAAATCCTGACTTGGCCATTGTGGCCAGGAGAGAAGTATATAAGGAGGAGAGAATAAAAAAGTAGAGAGAGAGAAGGTGATTGGACAGAAGCACCAAGAAAAGTGGTACAGGAGCTAAGAGGAAACTGGACTTCAGCAAACAGCCTGACAGCCTGAGTTCAGCAGGTAGGGCGCTAGGTTTGAGGTTGTCTGTAAGACTGAGCAGAGAGCATGTGGTTCTGTCCTGAGAGGAGGTGGCATCACTGTGTATGGTCCATATGTCCCATCAATGCTTACAGGCCACCAAGGTGGACTCCCTAGAGTTCAGGACCATCCAGGCTTAAGGATTAGTTACTTGGCTGGCATAGGGTTAGTTGATTTTGCAAAGGGAAGAGAGTCCCTGGGTAGCCTGGTAGCAGTGTCAGTAAGAGGAGCTTCTTCACATCACAGGTAGTAATCTTATGGAACTTGTTACCTGCAAAGGATAAAAAATGGATTTGGAAAAGAAAGCTGAAGGATTTGGAAAAGAGAGCCAGCAAATAGCAGTCCTGTCCTCCCACATCGTATTCTCCCGAACTGCAGGTGACAGAGTACATGAGACTGAGCAAAACCCCAAGTCTGACCCAGCGTGTTTCCTCCTGTCTGGCTCATATCTGTATGTGGAATGGCCAGGGGTCCTTCCTCCTGTACTTCCACAGGGGAAAGTATCACTCAGATTACTTTGATGTCACAGCAGGGCTAGAGCTGGTTGATACTGTGAAACTCTGATCCTTAACTGCACAGAGGCGAGGGTCTTAATTACCTGAGCTTCTGCTGTTGGCCAAGCATGCTGTGCTTCTTCAGAGCCCCATGCCTCTGCACGTGCTGTTGCTTCTGCACATGTGCTTGAGAAATGTGTACCTTGTGAGTGGGAAGGGTACGGTCCTTGAAATTTTGGATTGAACGGGTAAACTTCCTGCTGGAAGTTTCTCCCTGCTATTGGCAGGGTGATGTCTCCTGTATCTTTTTGTTTTCCCTACCCTCTTCCCTAAATACTTGCCAGAAAACCTTGAAGTACAAGCAGCATCTATACATTCACCAAATATTCACTGAATACTTGCTGTGCACAGGGCAAAAAAAGTGGTAACAGGATGTTTGTTAGAGACTCTCCTGGTAAGATGCAAATAATTGTGTTGGAAACAGAGGTGGTAAGTGCCTTGGGGATTTAGAGAAGGGAGAGGCTATTCCATCCAGAGCTGAAAGGAGGTGGGTCAAAGGCTTTGTCAAGGAAGTGGCTTTTGAGCTGAGCCCTGATGAGCCGTAAGATTTGACCATGCACATCTGGGAACAAGCAGTTCATTAAAGCCAGTGGACTGATGTGAGCTTAGACACCCAACAGTGTGATCAGGAAGGGTGTGCTGGAAGATAGGCCATGAGGGGAAATCACAGTGGTCATGATAAAGAAGTGAGTGGGTCCAGAAGGGGGATGCTCAGGCTAAGTTTCCAAATTAGATGGTGGAAAGGAAGGTAGTGTCATGGACAGACATAAGAAAATGACAGTAGAGGCTGGCACAAAGGAGGAAACGTGATGCGTTTTGAACATTTTATTTATTTGAGGTTCTGTCAGCAGATTTTGGTGATGATGTCTAGCAGGTATTTGGCAGTATAGGAGTAGAGCTCAAGAGAGGTAAAACCTAGAAGCTTTAGTTGTAAAAAATAGTTAAGTTCACAAAGGGAGAACAGAATAGAGTAAGAAAATGAATTATAGGATCTTGGAGAACATCTGCCTGTGTTGGGTAGGAAGCGAGCAGAGCAAACAGTGACCAGAGAAACAGACGAGTGCAGCTCTGCAGGGCTGTGGTGGGTCGGGGCACAGCAGTGTGCCGGGTGCCCCGGAACCAGGTGGTCAAGGTGAACGAGACAGAGCCCCCGAGGTTGTATAACTGGAGGGCCCTGGGGTGCCTCAGACATTCATTTCCAAGGTTGCAGGGGTGGGGTGAATTTCAAATGCACAGAATAAAAAGTAAATGAGTAGAACAGAACAAGTTACAAATATTTTTAAAGAAATTTTGCCAGTAAGGGAGAGGATGGTGAAGGAAGAGGACAGATGCCAGCTAAGGAGAAGCCACTGGGTGAGTGGGGCTGGGGGTCCCTCCCACACTGTCACTGAAGCAAGGCCTTGGGGCAGTCAGGGGGATGGGGCTGAGGCTGCTCTTGTCGGGGGCTCAGCCTTGGAGAGGAGGCGGTATGTCACTCTGCAGAAAGCAGAGGAAGGAGAGCAGATGGGTGGCACTGTGGAGAGATGGGATAGAGTGGAGGGCAGGAAAGGTCATCCACATTGGAGGCAGGGACCATCTGAGAAGCTAAAAGGGACACAGAAATGGGGAAGGGGTGACACGCACCTCATGGGTGTAACATAACAAGTTATTTGGAGGTAAACAGAAGAATTGCTAAGTGTCCCTGAGTTCAGATCTGTTGCTGACGCCCTGTTTCTCTGTGTCTTAGTTCTGTGGGCCCCCACCCCCTGCAGGCTGCACTCTTTCCCTTCCCAGAGCCTGGGCGGTCTGTGTGGCACTCCTGGCTGCTGAGTCCTGAGACCACCAGGCCCAAAACATAAGCTGTTGTTCCCTCAATTAAGCCCTCTCCATGTGTGTGTTTCTTCCTAAACAGACCTCTTTGTATGTCACAGGCCTTCCTGAGCTGCCTTCTGGAATATTAACCATGCACTGTCCCACATAAAACCTTCTTTGCTAGTCACTTCCTGTCTTTTAGCAACTTTGAAAGATACCTTCTTTGCTGATTCTTGCAGTGATTTTGGCTACTTCCGTCCAGAAAATGACTCCAAGTGTGTGGAACAGCCAGAGCTGAAGGGCCACGACCTGGAGTTTTGTCTGTATGGGAGAGAAGAGCACCTGACGACAAACGGGTGAGATGGCTGGGTGTCCACCAGGCACAGTGAAAGCTGATTCTCTCCACACAGATCTGAGCCCCGGTGGAGAGCACGCTAGAAAAATACTGCCTAATAGAGCCCTTTGTGATGGTGGAAATGTTCTGAAATCTATGTCTGATACGGTAGCCACTAACCCTGTGTGGCTACTGACACTAGTGTGACTGAGGAACAGAGATAATTTTGATTGATTTAAATGTAAATAGCCCCCACAGTAGACAGTGTTGCTCTAGAGGAGCCTCACTGCCTGCCCCCCAATAAACACTCCTCTGTCCCTTTTTTGTCCCACATGTTGACATGCTTTCCCCAGGTCACAGTTCTTTGGCACAGTTTCTTAAGGCAGAAAGGCAGCTTGTCCCTGCAGCAAGGCAAGGGATGTGTGGTCTGTCCAAGGGCTGAAACTATATGGAATATCCCCAGAACATCCCTGTGGATCTCCCCCAAGGCCTGGAAGATAGTGTAAGGACCAGAAGCCTTTCTGTAGGTTGTCAAATCTTATTTTCAGGAAGTAAGCAAGAATCTAGGAGTACATCCTTGTATTCTGTTAACAAATTTTCTCTGCCGCTCAGATACCGTAAAATTCCAGGAGACAGATGCCAGGGTGGAGTGAGTCCAGCTCGGGAAGTAAAAGACTTGAAAAAGAAATGCACGAGCAACTTTCTGAGTCCAGAAAAGCAGGTATGTTAAAGTAGGTCTGGTTTAGGTACCAGTGGGGTTTCATGTTCTGCCAGGAGTAGTCAAGATGCAGCATCAAGAACCTTATTACTGAATACAAGTGGCCAGACTGCCTCCGTCAGGCTTCCCTTCGCGCAGAAACTGTTAGGATGAAGGATGGATCACATAACCTGATGATAAGCTCATCTACTGAAAACTTTTTTGTTGGGGAAAAAAATGGTATTCAGTGAAGTTTTTCCAAGTCTTAGAAGCATAGGGTTGAGGAAATTTCTGAGACTCGGAGTCATGTAGGAAAGACTCAAGAAGTGTGGCTGTAAAGCCCTGGAGTCTTTCTCACACATGTGGAAGAGCAGCAGACCATCGGTAGGGCAGATCTCTGCCTAGTTATGCCAAGTGTGTTCAGAATGAAAACCTCAACTATGGTAATAATGGGCTGGTTTTGATTTAGAGGCAAGTTTTGGGGCTGATGACACATCTGTAGCAGTGAGCTATCTGGCTGGGATATGGTAAAGAGGAGACCTCTTGTTAGAGAAGCACTGGGCCAGGAGTGTGACGGGGCAGTAAACTGTGGGCCCCAGTTTCCTAATCTGGGAATTGAGAGGTGGACAATCTGCAGTCCCCTCCTGTTTAACCTTCCAAGGGGTAAGGGCCTGAAGAGGGGTGGGATTAAGAACGCAGTGGGAGAAGAATGTGTGGGTGTGTGTATTTGTCAGGGGGCAAGTTCCTCCTCGTCTGCACCCCCGCCCTGCACTCCTGGTGGCTGTCCTCAGAGTGTTTGTGTGTGTGATTGCACAGGACTCCCGCCCACAGGGACACAACTTGTCCCAGAATCCAGCTCCGCCTCCTCTTGGATTCATTGAAAACACACACTCCCTATCTCCCACCCAGAAGCAGGTAGGTCACACTCAAACAATGATATGAAAAAGCTTATTTATAAGAACATACCAAAAATTAAGTAAAAAATAAATCTTGGTGTCATAGGATGGCCTCCCTGACATAGCATTGGCACAGCCTCTTCCCAGGTAATGGCCCTGTTCTAGATTCATTCAGCCCACTTATTATCGTAGTCTCCCTTTCCTGGTCCACCTTTTAAAGCTCCAGGACTTACGAACAGTGGTAGTGGGGAACAGTCACAGTTACCATTTGATCTAGGCAGTTGCTTTCAGTGTAACTTTGACATTGGAGCCCCTGAGTTTGCACCGTTCTGACAGCTTCAAGGCAGTTGAAGTCCTCTGCCAGCTGTGATACTCTCCTGGTAGCACCGAGATGGGGGGGTTGGAAAAGTATCATCACTAAGTTCCCAGAGAATGCAGATCACACATTCAACAGAGAAGTGAGGGAAATGAGTAGCCTCTTTTTTGAACTCAGTCCTGGAATATGCACACCCAAAATTATTTGTGTTTGTGTTTTAATTTATCAAGAATTCCAAGTCGAATTCTGTTCCAATTATCCTGGCAACTGTGGGATTGATGCTGGTCACAGTCGTAGCAGGAGTGCTCATTGTGAAGAAATACGTCTGTGGGGGAAGGTAAGGAATACGGAAGTCAATCAAACCAGAAAGTCAGCCAAGGGCAGGTGGTTTGGCAAAAGTTGGAGTGATGTTCCCGAAGCATCAGGCCCAAGTCTTCTCTTACGTTTTCCATATGCCAACTATGGGCAGTGCTTCCATTATGTGTGACTCATTCTGTGAGTGTGTAAAACTCAGAAAATCCACAGTCCTATTTAAAAACGCATCCTTCCTCACCGCGTGAGGGTTAACGGCGGCTTCTACCTGTAGGTTCCTGGTGCATCGATACTCTGTGCTCCAGCAGCATGCAGAGGCCAATGGTGTGGACGGTGTGGATGCTTTGGACACAGCCTCCCACACTAATAAAAGTGGTTATCACGATGACTCAGATGAGGTGAGACTATTTCTTCTTGAAGGGTGGTCCAGAAATTTTAAAAAGAGTGATTCTATTCTTACTCATGATTAAGATTTGATTGAAGCAAAGGATGGTATAAGCTAGAAGCAGCAACTTCATGACTGTAAGACTTGGCCGGTCTGGAAACTAAGTAATGGCTTCCAAAAATAAGGACTTTTTGGTCTGTAAATAATATGGGGTATGTCTTTCTTTTCAGGACCTCCTGGAATAGCTCGTCAAACAAGCTGGGACCGAGCATGGATGATGGAACCGCAGTACCTCTTACACTCCCTGTGGCTCCGACTTGGGGAAATAAATTTCCCATTGCGAGGGACCCAGCTCTGTTTCTGCTGCTTCCATCAAAGCCAAAAGGACCTACACTAAAGAAATGGGTGGGGGGGACCTAAACACTCTTATAATTGGCTCTGAGAAGAGAGGGAAATTTTTTAATTCTTTAACTTTTCAAGTTCTGTCTTTTTGCAAGGTACGGGCCCTTTTGGTTTTGGTTTTGGTTTTGTTTTTTAAGGGAAATGAAATGGAATTGAAGGGAACTTTTCACTAACCCCACTATTGCATGTTTTGCATGGCGCCTACCCGGGGCACCTGCCAGCTTCAGCATCAGCTTGGTGCTGTCCGTGAGCTCTGCTGCCGACTCGGAGCAGCTGCAGAGATGAGCACGGAGGCCGCGATGACTGGCACCGCCTGGGCAGCCTTTCTCCATCTGGGGACAGCCCTGCTCCAGCACCATTGCACACCAGCGCCTCACACAGATCCTTGCTTTTTGTTGTGTTTTGTTTTGTTTTTTTTCAGGGACATAGACCACAGTGATTTTTCTTTTCCCTTGTTTAATTAGGCAATACCCTTCTTAATTGCCCTTTGGCAACTAACTTAACCATGTGCTTCCAAAACACTAAATCAGGAAAACTTAAAGGGCAATATTTTTAACTTGGGGCAGGAAGAAGGGAGCAGCAGAGAATTGACTAGATTTAACACTTATTAAAGGAGAAATTCTTACTTCTGCCGAGATCTTTCAAGCCATGCTTTGTGTGTGTGCCAGTGGACTTGCTCAAGGACAGGGTTCAGGCTTGCCTGGGCAGAGTGCCCAGGCCGATGGAGCGGCCGGCGGCGGGCACGGTGCAGCCCCTGAGGACTGCACGTCACAGTCTTCCACGTCCCCCTCTGCCTGTTGCGCCAGCTCCGCGGTGAATCGTTAGAATGGCTGCTTACTTGCTTCCTCCTAGGTTGCTGTTGTACATGGAGCCTTGGCGAGATAGGTTTTCCGATTTATAGGCTCTTTTTTAAAAAATTGGCGTTTTACCAGGCTCTCCTCCTCACCCCTTTTCCCCAGCTTTGCCAAGTAGTTTGTTGGCATGAAACTTTTGGCTGAACCAACTGAAAATACACTTCTAGTGTAGATGATGTTTTGTGTGATACATCAAGTTCATATTTTGAATTTTAAAAAGTTTTCCATTTGACATTTTAAAAATGAAATAAATTAGAGAATGTAGCGAGGTGGATTTTGGGGTGGCCATGTAGTAATGGAAAGCTGCAATAATTCGTTTTAATAGAGCTCGACTATTTGATATACAGGAACATAGCAGTACATTTTCAATCTTAGCATACCTGCTGTGGTGGTCACAGTTTCTGCCATTAATTATGATAGGGACATTCTTTGGTAACTGCCATTTTGCTGCTAGTTCATTTTATGGCTAGAAAGTCAGTAAAAAGTAAATGTGCCAAATTGACTTTTGTCAGAATGTGTGAGCAGATGGCTCAGTTCTCTCCTCACCAGAATGGATTAACAGCAGCAGGGAAAGAGGGGGAGGGAGTGGATGAAGAATTTTAGAGACTTTGAAACTGCAGTAAAATTAAGTGAGTCAGGGAGTTTCAGTTGGAAAATAAGATTAGGGCAGTTTTTATGAAGAGCATTTATGTTTGTTAGAACCAGAGAGCACTAGTCTTTTAGGAAAAGCTCATTCATTTTGCAAGGTTTTTAAATTAAAAATAGTTCCAAAGCTATACCAGCTCACAAATGATAACGTATCAGCCTTTGTCCTGGGCAGAAAAAACCTGCTCACACGCTACGCCTTTTCTCCCCACATACACCCATGGGGTGGACGTGCCATCCGTGGTGATTCTCTTGCTGGCTCTAAGATGTAGGAAAGCTAATATTCTTCTCTAACCATGTAAGATTAGGGCTCTTTGCCTATAATGATATCTGGGATTTCTGTGGAACTTGGCAGTTTTCACAGTACTTTTTCACTTGCATTATGTCACTTGAACCTCACAAATTTTCATGAGATTAAAAAAAAAAGAAAAGGCAGGGGCTGCGATCCCCATTAGAGGTAGAACTAAGGTACGAAACGGAGCCAGTTGTTAGGGTCCTTGCGTGGCTCGAGCAGTGTCGGTGGCTGTCCTCGGATGTCGCACGCATTTTGGCGCGCGCTGCTGCCGGCCGCCTGGGGCAGGGCTGCTGGCTTGTACAGGACCTGCTGTTCTGTCGGACAGGGATCATGGTGTTTCTTTTAGAGCGCGACTGAGCGCTTTTCTGCCACCTTGGTAAACAAATTTTATTCTCCTATTTTTCATAGCTGAAAACAAAAGTAATGGTAGTTTTGAATTTGTGTTTAGAAACCGCCCCTCACCTCGTTGAAGGTCACTGTTCGAGAGTGCAGGGCTGGAATCCGCACTGAGGAGTCACCCCTCCCCATTCTCCGTGCTTTCCCATCCCTAGCCAGCTAGCTAGCTCAGTTGGTTGAGGACTGCTAACAGGTCCAGTCTGTTAGCTTTCTGCATCAGCCTGCTCACTCACAAGTGTGTGCCCTCTGCCAGAGAGTAAAACAGCCTAAATCCATGACAGCGTCTAAGAAAAAAAGATTTCTGGTTTGTCCTACTGATGTTAGGTTAGGAGCTTTATCTTTGGAAATGAAATAAAGCATAGTATCGTACAAAGTCTCAGGTGTGATGAAAGCAGAAGAGATTATTTCAGCAATAAAATTTAGCATCGTAAGCTAGATTGGACATATCAGACCGTCCAAAGTGATCTGAGCTCTGAAATCCAGGTGGAGATGCCTTGGACTTAAAGGGGCTTTTGGTTTTTAGTGAGACCAGAGACCAGGGGCACGTACACCCAGACTGTTCATCGAATGGGAACACGGCTCAGAGGAGTAGAAGTGTTTGGAGGGTTGTGGTGGTTCTAGGCTGGGCTCAGGAGACTCGGTAGGTTAGCTGTAACTGAAGCTTAGAATTTGCTGGCTGCCTCTGAATAGGCTTTCTAGTGTGTCTCTCTCTCACTCTTAGGTTCGCCTCTGGGCCTCTGCATGCCCAAGCTTGCCTTTCATCCCTGACAGATAAGTAATGTGCTGGCCACCACTGGCTCTTTAAACCATAGCTGGCTCTCCCATGGCCTTCATCATGGTGCCAGGATGGAGAGAGGAGTTCAGGGCCACCCACTTCTGCCCCAGGTGGCAGGACTAGCCCGGCTTCAGTCATTTCTTTATTTTCCAGGCAATGACCCAGGTAGAGAGATTGTCTCTTTCCTTTGAAGAGAGCTCTAAAGAGCCCTGCCCCCATATGCAAGGGCTTAGGGCTCGCCCTGCTTCTTGTTGGTACCTCCCCCTTGCCCCGTGTGAAGCCTGGATACTTGGAACTGCTAAAATAGGAAGAGATTCAGGTTTTCAACTTTGCCACTACCTTCCCTCAAGCAGGAAAATAAACATGGACTTACCCGTCCTTTGATCAAAAACCAAAGTTTAAGATTTGCCACGTGATAGAGAGGGCCAGACTCTCAGCACCTGCACTCAGCAGGTGCCGGACTTCCTGTCCCATCTGCCGCGATTTACCCAGCTCAGGCAGCCCTGGGAGCAGAGTCCTAGCAGAGCCCAGGCCTCCCCTGATGGAGGATAAGTGAAATGGCAGGAATATTTTGAGATTTCTAGGTTACTTTGCATTATAACAATAAGAATTAGAACATTAATTTGAAATTGGCTTCAACAACTTGCTGTACACATCTTTTCCACACCAGTACATTCTTAAGCATCCTTGTTTATAAAGAATAACATAAACTAATCTGTACCTTTCTATATATGTGTGTGTACATATATACATGTATAAACTGTATAGTGTACATGTTAATGATTTATTGAAATGTCCCAAATCTTTAATGCAGTTCTCATCCTCTGCATGCCCACAGTTTGTGATCGGGTGACTTGAATGTTGCCTGATGATTCTGCCCACCTGATGTGTTTGGTTGTCTAGGAAGGAGGGTTTTGATGGTATCCTCCTTATCCTCGTGCACAGAAATGCTCAGGGTCCCTATGTGCCTATTGTCCAACCCTCTCTTGTCTCTTGTTCCCTATCTGAGCATGTGGTCCCTCCTTGTTCTCTAACTTCTCTACCCTCTCCCCAAGCTGTGGGACAGCTGTCTTCCTACTAAAGTGTAAAGCAGTATTAAGATCATTACTGCATGTGCGCTAAAAACCCAAGTTTTCTGTTCCCTTGGGACAGAAAATTGCATGTGAGGTGGGATAATCAAGTTTCAATGAGCCATGTCAGTTACACCACAAAGCCAGATCCCAGAATAAAATTCCACAAAATGGAAATAAAACTCAAATTTCTTTAGCATTCTGTAAATAAATCTGGACGTGTTTAACTTTGTACTGGTAATTTTCTGTATATTTGCAATATTTGGGTTAGAAATAAAACAGACTGGACTTTGTTACCTGACCTACCAAAATGACTAGGCTACAGTTTGTTAACATGAAAGCTTTTCCAGTTTTCTAGCCTCAAATATCGAACTCCAGCAACCAGAGAATAAGTCAATTAAAGAGCCAGGACTATGTGTTCATAGTACAAAAGGTATTAGATACTTTATGGGGAAAACTACTCACTTTTTTCTTACTTAGGCTTACAGAAGTCTACCTCCCATGGATATTTGTAAAACCAGCTTTCTTGTTACTCCCTGAAAGTCTAGGTGACCCATCCCACATACCTTCTCAGTTTCGATTGCTGCAGTCTTCCTTCTGGACAAAGCAACATATCATTACTCTCTTCAATTACACGTTCTTGTAGCAGGTTTGACAAATGACAACACTGAGAAGTTTAACTTAAGTATCTTTCCACTTGCCCCTCTTAAGTTTCTCTTGCTGCTCTTACTCATAGTCCTTCCTGATTCGTTTCATTTAAGGATGTTTGAAGAGTTGCAACTTTCCTCTCTTCCAAAATATTTGTCGTAGGAGAGGTTCCTGCCACCCCCTGCCCCGAGGCTTTAGCTAAGCCTGACAACTGCTTCTCAGCTGGCCATCCTGGAAGGTATTTCCATGAATGCTGCTGTCATGGCCTGAAGATGACAAGGCAAAGACCTCATTCTTGAGGAGCCTGCGGTCTGGTCTTGAAGGCCCCCAGGAGATAATCTAAGGTGGTTTTCAGGAATTCTATCTAGCATAGTGTTCTAAGACTTTCTGCAACAGAATCAGTAGGTTGCCTTTTAAAATGCAGATCCCACCAGACCTATTAAATTAGCCTTTCCGATGGACAAGACCTTAGGAATCTGCAATTTTTTATTTGATTCTTTCATACCTTCACTGCAACGAAGAGCTAAGATCGAGAGCCTAGGCCAGTCTCATCAAAGCATAGGTTAAATGGGGTATAAGAGGGGGCCTTCAGAGTTCCCTGGCGTGGGGACTGTTTGGACTCCTAAGGGCCTTGGCTGGGTCAGACAAGAGAAATAGGTCAGAGAGGCCTTTACACAAGTGCTGACATGACACAGTGCAGCCTCTTACCAACCCATCCTAGCTCCTGAACAGCTTCCTGGGCCTGAGGTGTGTCTACTGCTTATCGTGGTCCTCAGCCCCTGTACAGGTTGCAAAAATGAGTTCTGGGTCTCTGTCCCACACAGGCTCCCGGGATCCTATTGACTGTCCCCAGATCGAGGGCTAAAGAGGAAAAATGAGCAAGGAGCTCATTCATTAAACCCCACTCATTTGTTTCCATAAAAAAATAAAGGCGTGGTGGGGATGGAAGGGGGTATGCGGGAACTCTACTTTCCACTCAGCTTTGCTGTGAACGTAAAACATCTCTTAAAAAGTCTCGTGTGTGTGTGTGTGTGTGTGTGTGTGTATTCACAGAGGGGATGCCAGCTTCTGGAGATGAGAAAGTGACAGTATGATGGGAAACCAGATCATTTGGATAGAGTGTACAGAACACACAGAATGATGGCGGTTTGGTGAGCCTCATACAGGATCTTTAGTGTGTAACTAACACCTACTGTGCTCTGGCCACTTTCATATACTTCTGATGTTTTATCCTCAGCACAGTCGTAGGTAGCATCATCATCCCTTGTTTCATAGACCAGGGACCTGAGGTTCAGATTACTCTGATTTCCCCACAGTCACCTAGCAAATGTGTGAGTAGTAGAGCCCAGAGTCACACTCAAGCCCTCTGACCTTATGCCCCTGGCTCTCCTCCCTCCACCACTGCTGCCTTTCACTTCATCTGTACTTCTCTCATAGGCAAGAGAGCTCTGAAAGGGGCAAGCGCTAGCCCGACCTAAAAATAACTTACATCTATCTACACTCTGCTAAGCACTTTGCACAGATTACCTCTTTGAATCCTCACAACAACCCTATGGCTGTTGTCATCTCCATTTTACAGATGAGGAAACAGACCTGAGAGAGCCTGTGATGTGTTAGAAGTCACACAGCCAGTTGGTGATGGAGTCAAAAGTGAACCAGGGGTCCAGCTCCCTCCACTGCTACTGAGGGAGTGGAGAGGATGGGGCCGCCCCCACAGGGTCCAGATGACAAGGCTTTACAACTCAGTGAGGGTGGGAGCGGAGAGGGAGAGACCGGTTAAAGGTGTGCCGGTGAATCAACTAATCCTGGGGCCCCTTCCTTTGGACCTGGACACCCTTGGATGAGCTCGAGGTCAGGAGCCGAGATGTCACCCAATCCTCCCAACAGAAGCTAGAGGGATGGTCTGGGCGGGGAGGGGCTGTTTGAAGCCCAAGTGCTCCCCTCTCTCCCTGGGGCTGTGTGAGAGGTGTCCTCTCATTCCCAAGATAACAGGGCCACCCTGCCCTCCTGCTGTGGCTATTCTGGGCCGCAGTCTGATCCCGCCTCTTCCCCTAGCCCCTGCTTCAGCCCTGCTGGGAGTAGCTCGGTGGGAAAAGGCCAGCCCAGTTACATAACCCTGTGGCTGGGACCCTAGGGAGGCCAGACCGGAGAGCAGGTGCTCACCCCCTCCCTCACCACCAACAGTGAAAATCTTCCTCTGGAGCCCAGCCTCGGGGTGGCCCAGCATGGAGGCAGCCACAGCTCCGGAGGTGGCCCTGGGATCGACCCTGAAGGTGAAGGAAGCCAGCCCAGCCGATGCTGACCGACCCCAGGCCTCACCTCAGCGGGGGGCCGGCAGCGCCACTCCCCAGCTCCTGCCCCCCATAGAAGGTGACCCATGGGGGTGGGGAGAGGGGAGGTCGACCTGTGGGAGTTGGGAGGATATTCTACCGCCTGACTGCACCTCTGTGGTTCTGCAGAACTAAACAGCTTCATGGGATTGGTACTCGGGGTAGAGGAGCATCCTTTGGAGCCCCCACCCCCTTCTTCGGTGGATTCTTGCTTGCTGTTCAAGTGTCTTTGCTGGGTTTTTGCTTTTTACCTGAGAAGTCAGTGAATGGAGTTGTGGCACTTTACAGTGACTTATAGTGATAGGTTTATATTATTACCTTTTAAAAATGTCTTGTCACAGGGACTAGGAGGACCTGATATACTAAGGCCAGTCAGAAAGGGAATGAGGGATGAGAAGAAGGAAATGAAAAGCTTCTAGCCACTGAGAGGCTAAGTGGTGAACAGTATGTGACACTCTGTGTCACCCTCAGCAGTGCCATGGGTCCGGGACCAACCCCAAAACCCCCACCCCAGGAAATGTCAGCCTCTCCAAGTCTGAGCTCCATGGAAGCAGAGCCCCTTGGGGAGAAGCATTTGGCTTCTCCTCTGTGGTCCCTGTGAGCCTCTGAGTAAAGAGACATTTTCAAGCTTGGAGGTGGTGGGTGCCCCTTCCAGCCCCAGGTTTCCCTGCCAGCAGCCTTGCCACCCACCCCAAAAACTGCCCCTGGCTGGGGCCTCCATAGCTAAGAGCTCTGGGACATTCAGCTGGGGTGTCTCCCACTGCACCTGGCCCAGCCAACGGAGGTGGAAGGCAGGAGCCCAGCTTTTCCCTTCTCCCAACTGGTAATTGGGGCTGCATGAAACATTTAAAACAGTTCCCTGCACAAAGTCCCCTTGACTTCTGGTCCCTTGACCTCTTCAATGCAGAAGTTGCAAAGACCACAAACAAGGCACCATGGAATCCCAGGGTCAGGAGAGACAGAAGGAGAAGACAAGATCTAGATTCAATTCCCAGTGCTGCTCCAGCAGCTCCGTGACCTTGGCCAAGCCCAGTTTCAATTTCCTGTCTGTAAAATGGTGACTAACAATATCTACCTGGTAGGGTACTTGAAAGGATTGTTGAGATAATCCAAAGTGCCTTGGAAGAGGCCAAACCAAGATGTGAATAGATAATAAAATATTTCCCAGTCAGGGGTGAAGACTGAGTTCTACCTGCAAATAGAGTTCTGCAGGGTGTGCTTGTTGCTTCTTATCATCCTAATGGAAGATGTTAAGTTTTCAGAAGCTGTCTGAATGTCAAGCGCAGAGAGCTGGCTGAGTTTGCCCCACTGAACAGTAAGTAAAGGGAGCAGAAGTTATTGGGAACATATCAGGCTGGGATGATCTTGAGGCAGAAAAGCAGTTTCTTTCCCTGACGGTCCAGGGAATAAAACATAAGTCACAGGCAGAGAGAGAATGAGAACCGGGATGACCCCCTGACTGCTCGTCTCCACGAAACCCTGGGGGAGGGCACTCGCCTCTCCCACACTCCTCCCTCTGGTCACAGGGTGAGTGCTGTGGACAGTCGGCCCCTGACAGCGCCTGGCGGGGCCCACAAGGGCAGCCTGAAGAGCCCTGTTCTCATGCATGGTGGCTCTGCACTGCGGGCTCAGGGGCACCAGCATTTAGAGGCTCAACCCAGCAGCATCCCAGAGGTCGCTGGCAGTGAGGACCCCTTGTGACACTCTGCATAGTGTATTCGCACCTGTTATCCAGTTGGAAAAAGAAGACATGGATTCGAGCCCTAGCTCTATCCTGTGACTATAGGCAAGGCAATTCACCCCTCTGGACTTCCATTTTTTCATCTGTAAATTGAGGGGTTGAACTAAATCAGGGTTCTTAACCTTTTAATAGATTCAGACCCCTAGGAAAATCTGATGAAATCTGTGGACTCTTGCCCCAAGGAAAATACTCAGCAAAATTCAGGGAGTTCACAGAATCACTGAAGCCCATTCAGAGGTCTTCAGGGTGCCATGGCACAGGCCCCCAAGCCAGCGCCCCCAAGCGAGCACCAAGAACTTTTCCTTCCTTGTAACTCCTCCTCTTCCTTAGAGGGAGCTCTATGGGACCTAGAGAGCCCTTGCAGTGAGCAGGTAAGCAGATGTGAAATAGAGCAAGCATCAGAAGCAGAAATTAATTTGCAGTGTCAAAACAAACTGCAACTGGCCAACACTATCTGAGCTGTTAGTCAAGAAAGCCCGCTCCACGGCTAAATAAGCAGAAGTAGGTGGCCAGCACTGGGAAACCATCCTCTGTCACCCTCAGCACTACTCAGAGAAACAGTGTCCCAGAGGCAATGCTGGGCAGGGGCCAGAGGAGAGCTTCTGCAATAGTGAGAGGCTGGGGGACAGGCTGCCCCCTGACATGGAGAAGACGAGACCCTGAGACCCAGAGGGAGAGCCCATCTCTGCTGATTCAGCACAATTGCTCCGCCTGACCATGTGTCCTCTTTCAGTCTGGACTATTCTGTCTCCTAAGCTTGCAATGCTGAGTCCCATGCCTGAAAATAACCTTCCTCCCACCCTCCTTCCCTTCCTATCTTCCTTCTTCCTTCTACAAATAGTTATTTTGTGTCTATTATGTGCCAAGCACTGATACAAAAATGAACAAAATAGGCACAAACAACTTCCCTCTTGGAGATTACATTCTAGTGTAAAAAGATAATAAATAAATAAGCAAATAAAATATATAAAATACCAGATAGTGCTAATGCTGAAAAGTAAAGCAGAGAAAGAAAGTGTTAGGGGTGGCAAGCATGTTTGTTGATTTAAACAGGATATTCAGTGAAGGTCTCGTTTAATAAGGTGATTTGAGCAGCAACTTAGAGGAGATGAGAGAGCAATGCGTGCAGGTATTTGGGGGGAAGGTTTTCCATGTACTGACAACAGTAAGTGCAAAGGCCCTGAGGCAGGAGTGTGCCTTATGGATTGGGGCCACTGTGACTGTAGCAGAATGAGGGAGAGAATAGCAGGTTTGGTGTCAAAGAGGTAGCAGAGCCATTGTGAACACTGGTTCAACTCTGAGACCAATGGGTAGCCAGTACAGAGTCTTAGGTGAGAACTGACATGATTAGGTATAGGTTTTAAGACTTTTCTGACTGCTTAGTTAACAATAGGCTATAGGCAGGCCTTAGACACTAGCAAGACTGTCAACTCAGAATAAGGATGCAGGAGAAAGTATGGAAGTTTTAGAAGAGGAGGGTGTGCAACAGTCCCCCAGGAAAACAGGAAATTGAATGAACTAGAATGGCCAAGGTCAATTTGGAAGTAGCGGCCATCAATTTAAAGTCAGCATAGTTTTGTGTTTTTCCCCAGTTATGTTTGGCTGTGAGGATGCAGGCTCTGAGTGGGTGGAAAGTATTTAGCTGGGGTTGGGTATTGCTAGGAGGATGCAATGAAATAGAAAAGGATTAAAGGATTTGAGTGGGTATGCAAGGGAGTGAGTATAATGACGACCATGGAATCTAAGTTGGGTGGGAAAAAAAGTGTTAAGATGAGAGAGGGTGATAGAGAGTGAACAAGTGGGAGGATAATGGATCAGAGGTCTCAGTGCGCTGAAGGGTCACTGCTGGAGGAGCACTAGAAGGGGCAAGCTGGAGGGATAGAGACTGTCTGTCAGGGCAAGCTAGCTGGTGAAACAAACAGGCCTCAGAGTCTAAGGCTCAAATACAACAAATGTTTATTTCCTACTAGCAAAACAACCGAAAGCAAGTGTTCCTACTCAGTGGCTAGTTCTCTGCACTAACCGAGGGCTCCGGGTCTCCTCCATCTCATGGCTCCGCCATGCCTTCGGGCCCCATGACCATCTGCATACAGCTAGCAGAGGGGAAACTGAGAACTTACTTATTAAAACCCGTGGCTCAGAAGTCTCACTGGCAAGAACTAGTCTCATCGTCACAGAGCAAGGGGGACAGCCCCTTCTCAGAGAGGACTATACTACAGAAGAGGCTATGGGTAGACATTTCTGTAGGCAGTTAGACATCTCTGTCATGGAGGTGGTGCTGAGAGAGTGGGATGCTTGAAATTCAGATTCTAGAGGGGCTGCAGTTATTGGTGTAGAGAATGACCAGAGGAACCAGGGGCTGAGGCAGGGGAGGACAAAAGTCACTAGAGGACTGGCGGGCAAGGATGTGAGAGGCCCTGCAGGTACAGGAAGGATGGGTGTTGAGATCACCAGGAATCATGACTGGAGCAGTGCTGGGTGAGTGACACAGAGCTAGGGCCAAAGTCAGCAGCATGAGGGGGAGACTGCCACAAGGGGAGGGGAGCTGGGGTCTTCTCCTCAGAGACCTGTTGCTTAGTTCTGTCCTTTTATTTTTTTGTTTTTTGACCTTAGTTTCATGGTCTTCAAGGAGGTGACACTCTTGTCTTTCAAAAGGTGCTTTTGAAGTCACCACACTTCTGTCCATCACACTCCTCCAGACAGGTTTCTGATAAGGTCAAGGCCACACCCTACATGTCTACTAATGTTTCTAAGTGAAGAAATGCTGGTACTTTTTGGATCCCTGGAAATTCCTTGGTTTTTTGTTTTTTGTTTTTTGTTTTGAAAGCTATAGCTCACTTTGCCTTTGCCCTCTTTTGGTAACCACTCACCCACACAGGCCTGTGCACGTGTGTGCGTGCACACACACGTACTTGCATTTTTACACACTCTCACATACATGCACGCACACACACAGACTCTTTGAAGGTGTCTGTCTTGTTCACTCTCCCGGCCATAATTAATAACATCAATCTGAACTACACAGTTCTTGGGGAATCTCTGGAGGAAAGTCTTCAGCCATGTGAAACCAAGTTATGAGGGGATATGAACAATTATTTCCCATGAGCGGAGAATAAGGAAATGGGTATAAAGTTCAGCAGAATGAAATCAGGGTAGAATTGGAGGGATTTTCTAATCAAGAGGAGCTGAGGTCTCTGAGCTTTAAGTAGTCTCCTTCTCCACTAATTTTTAAGAAAGAATTAGACAGGGTCTCTGTCTGAAAGAAATTCAGTGCTGAGAGCAGCACAGCTCAGAAGCCAATGGCTCTCAAAAGACTTTCCGAATGCCTTTTCCCTAAGACTCTGTGAAGGAGAAGACCAAGTGGCAGCTGTCACAGACTTGGTCTTAGAAAACCGAGGTTCTGCTTTAGGGCTCCAGTCTGGTTCACATCCCTCCTGGCGTCTGAGGAGGAGAAAGACCTTGGGCGCCAGGGAAAGCCATGCTTCTCCAAGGTCAGTACAATTAACGCCTCACTTGACTGCGGATGTGTGGAAAGAGATGCCCTACATGAGCCCTCCAATTATCATTCTTAGCAAAGGGTCAGATGGCTCTTGTTTGCTGGGCAGACCAAAGGCCTGGCTTGAGCTGAGCAAGAGCTTGCTGCCACCCAGGCACCTGGAGCTGTCACACACTCTTCTGCCACCTCCTGCACTTTGTCAGCGGCTTTGACCTCAAGCTCATCCCACTGGGGGCTGGGAGACTGCTGAGAGCAGAATCCTCTCCTACTGATCCTCAGAGTTGGCGCATTCTAGTAATTAAGTTTGTCCCCTATTGATTCATCTTCTTGTCCAGGAACCCCACTTATACGCAAAGAACTGGCCCAGGAGCCCTCCAGGGAGGAAGAGACCACCATCCTAGCTGTCAGCTTTCTCCTCTGTCTCTCTGTCCCTGCTGGGATCCCCTCTGGATCTCAGGACCAGCCTAATTCCCCCATGTTAGCTTATGTTCCAAATAAACTTATTTCTTCGATTTTTCTCCTTAGTTCAGGTGAAACAATGCTAACCTTTTCCAAGGTCCTTTTCTGAGAAGCATTAAGTGGGAACACACATCAGCATGCACCTACCTGTAGAAGCCCACTTCCTACCTGAGGTCTAACCAGAGCAGCACTCATTTGGCACATCCTCCAGGCGGGACAGCCTGGCTTCCTTTCCTCACCTCAACCTTTTCAATCCTTGAGTGTGTCCCCCTGCCTTCCCTTCTTTGCCTCTTCCCTCCAGGGGTAAGATCACTGCCAGAGCCCAGACTCCAGTGCCCAGTTCCCAGATGGACACTGGAGGGCAGGTAAGTGGACAGATACACTGTCAAGCTCAGAGAATGGTCCTTTAGACATACTTTCAAGATGGGGAGGCAGGAATCCTGGTGCCAGCACAGCTTCACAACCGGCCAGGAGATCTGCAACAAATCTGTTTCTCTCTCCCAGCCCTTTCCTTTCAGTCTTCTTGTTCTGGGTGCTCAGCAAGGTCCTTCATAACTCAGATGTTCTGGAGGCAGAGCAGGGGACAGCAGGGCTGGCTTCTCTCCAGGCCTCTCTCCAGCAAGCGTGAAGGGTCATTTCCCCACCCAGCAGCGGGGGAACCAAGCCCAAGCTGAGGTTTCAACCCTCCTTTTCAATTGCCACCCTCTTTTTTCAGAAAACCCTTAAGTCACATCCGCCTGTTCTCAACACCTTGGTCACTTGCCAAGATGGCCACAGGAGAGGAACACATCACACAACACTTCTTCTGTTCTTCATGCCCCGCCTCCTCCCAAACCGTCAAAGTCGGACAGAGGGACGCCAGACAGGGTTGTTCAGCCGCCTGGGCTCCGTGCTGAGTCTTTGCTGAGCCACTCAGGCAGGACGGCGCTCAGGGCACAGCGGGGCCCCGGGTCACTCAGTGCCTGTCTTGGTCGGGGCAGGGGTGAGGCACAGTCTAAGACAGCACAACCCAGGTTAAAACATAAGTCACAAGGGAAAAAGGAAACTAGGTAAATACAATGGATAGCATGCGCTGAATATTTGTGCTTATATTCATTTTACAAAGGCCAGCTGATGTGAAGATGGTAATGGAGGCAAACTACAGGTGTGATCTAAATAATGGTTTACAAATTGAGGTGTAGGAAGAACTTCTTAGAATCTTCATTTATTCTATTTTAAATTTCATCTTTTAAAATTCTGCATTATGTAATATACATTTTAAACAGTTTAATTTGTAAGTAAGCATACGTATATTGGGGTGAATGTTCAGGAATGTACTTACAGGGAAATAAATATCAAAAAGTCTGGAATCTGCTATCAAGCCGTTGTGCTGTTTGTCACGGTTGTGGACTAGGGTGGAGTTCTTCCAACTGCTGGGAATGAATTGTGGAGAGGGGCCAGGGAGTCGGTGGGATCGAAGTTCTGTCACACTCCACGTAAGACAGCAGCAGCAGGGGACTGTCTTTGCCTGAGAAAGGAGGAGACAGGACCCCCAGAGGGCCAGAAAGTGGAGTAGGTCTCAGCCAGGCCTCCAAGGGACCCCAGGTGGGATGTTTGCATCTCCTCAGCCAAGACTGACCGAGGTATCCCAAGAGGAAATTACATCTGGTCATTTTCCAAACGTTACACTCAGCACTTCCCTGAGCATCTCCTATCTTCATCCTGGGAGCCAATAAAACATAATCTAATCTCTCCTCTCACTGGAACACGCCTGGAAGATCAAGGGGAAGTGAGAAGAGGACCTAATCTTCCCCAGATTCTAATCGTACAAAGTGATCCTCCACAAACTGGAAGACACTGTGCAGGCCCCTGAACAGGGCGGCTCCACAGAGGAAGGGACCCAGACACCAGCTCCCTCTGCAGTGACACCAGTTCTGTTCTTGTGGGTCCAGGGTGTTGCCTCTACCTGCAGAATGTAAAGCTTTCTCCTCGGGGTCTGGCACCAAACTGGGGAGCAGGGCTGACACTTGGAGGTCAGGATTAACATTGAAAGTGGCCTTGATTAAAGGAGTGTCGTTGAGGACAAATGTAGAAAAGGGGTGGAAAGACAAACCACACAGACTGGACTAGCCTGTGCACAAACAGAGAAAAGAAATCTCAGTCAGTGAAAAGTCAATGGATGAGAGTTACAAAGTAGGAGAAGCAGGCGTCAGGCTTGCACTTCAGTGTTCTTTCTGCCACCACTTTAACGCTCTCTAGAGGAGCCTTCAGCCAGTTGCTCATCCCTAAATCCCAGCTAGACAGTGGGAGCGATCTTCCCATCCCCTGAGAAAGGGCTTAGTTTGCTGTTGCCTGGGTCACCTGCCCAGGGAGCATGGCTGGATGCAGCACCCACTTCCTCTGAGTGCTACTCTTCCCCCTACAGGAGGCTCACCATCCCCTGCTCTCTCTTTCCATCACTCAGAGCACCCCAAGATCTGGCTCCCCCAGGCCCTGAGGCAGACCTACATCCGGAAGGTTGGAGACACTGTGAACCTACTAATCCCATTCCAGGTGATGATGCCACACTCCATGCTGAGTCCACGGGTGGGACCAGGCCAGGGTTTTGATTTGGAAATAGAAACCAAGAGTCCTGCTAGCAGTAGGACAGTCACCCTAGCTTTGAATGGAAGGGGCATGTCACCAGAAGTTTGAGGCCAAATGGCCCTTCCATCAGCTCTCCCGAGGGGGGTTTGGGTTGGGTCAGGTCTGGTCATGGGTCAGGTCATGCCCCATGTGATGACTTGAGGCTAACCCACGCCCTTCGGTCAGCAGAGGTCTGGGAGCTCTCAGTTTTGAGGGCTCTCGGGAGCTTGGGCAGCTATTGTTAGTCCCAGCTTCCCTGGGTGTCCATGACCCAGACTCTCAGTGGGAGACTCAAAGCCGTCCCCCTTTCCCATGGTCCTGAGGCTGTTGCTGAGAGATGGGAGTCCCCTGGGACAGTCCACCAACCTCTCACTCAAGGAATTTGCAGCTGTGTATCAAGTCACCATGTGGACCTGATGGATCTGACCCCTCCCGCAACCAAGAGGGGCAAGAGGCCTCTGGGGGCCATTCACAGCCTTCTTTCCATTTCTCAGGGTAGACCCAAACCTCGAGCCATCTGGACACATGATGGCTGCGCCTTGGACACCAGTCGTGTGAGTGTGCGGAATGGGGACCATGACTCCATCCTCTTCATCCGAGAGGCCCAGCGTGCCGACTCGGGTCGCTACCAGCTCAGTGTGCAGCTGGGCAGGCTGGAGGCCACTGCCACCATTGACATCCCGGTGATCGGTACAGTCAGGGGAATGGGAGATGGGTTGGTTCTCAGGGGCTCCCTCTCCAGCCTGAGGAGGAGCCAGCACATAGAGCTGGGAAAGTGGGGCTGTGGGATGCAGTGGTGGGTGAAGGGTGGGGTGGCTGAGCAGAAGAGGAGGGACCCTCCTGGAGTGATGTCCTCAAGTCTGCTGGCATTCTTGGCCCTTTCAGAGAGGCCGGGCCCTCCTCAGAGTATCAAGCTGGTGGATGTCTGGGGCTCCAGCGCTGCCCTGGAGTGGACACCACCCCGAGACACGGGCAACGCGGCACTCCTAGGATACACGGTGCAGAAGGCTGACACTAAGTCTGGGATGAGGCCCAGCTGGGAGGAAGGGGAAGACGGACAGCACGTTCTGGAATGGGGTTCTGGGATCTGCACTGGGTGGGCTGAGCTGGAGTGAATTCACAAAACTAGGGTGTCATTCAAGGCATCTTCTCGGGACCCCACAGCTGTGGTTCACGGTGCAGGAGCGCTGTCACCGCACCAGCTGCACAGTCTCCAACCTCATCGTCGGCAACTCCTATGCTTTTCGAGTCTTTGCTGAGAACCCGTGTGGGCTCAGTGAGACAGCCCCTATCGCTGCCGACCTGGCCCACATCCAGAAAGCAGGTAAGACACTGTGACTTGGAGCCGGGAAGAGTTAAGGGTGCAGAGGTGAAGAGGGATGGGGCGCTCAGGCACTACGGCAAGGCCCTATTTGGCCCCCTCAGCTACCGTTCACAAGACCAAGGGTTTTGCTCAGCGAGATTTCTCTGAAGCCCAGAAGTTCACCCAGCCTCTGGCGGACTGCACTACAGTCATTGGCTACGACACCCAGCTCTTCTGCTGCGTCCGCGCCTCGCCCAAGGTGAGCAGGGAGGTCTGTGGGTGGCTGTGCTGTGCTGCTTTCTGCTCCTGCTCTAACCTTCGCTGTGTCCAAGGAGATTCTAACCAAAACATTTGTTCCTGTCCCCATCATCTGCCTCTTCCACATCAAGTTTCATCAGAACACTCAGGGCACTGGAGTCCAAGACAGGCTGATGTGGAGAATATTTCCAGTTTTCCTTGAAGTGTTTGTGCCTTGTATATGGAGATGTCACTTTCTGACCTGCTGGCAATTGGGCATGAGCTTCAAAATTGTTTCTCTGGCAGGGGTGATGGAGTCCTGTTGGTTTCTCCTTGCTCACCCCCAATGCTCATCTGATCAGGGTGACTGTGCACATGCTAGCTGCCTGGAGTTTAGCCTTTGGCCACAACCCGACTTACAATCTATTGTTTTATTATGTTTACAATCTAGGCTCTGTCCTCCACACATGGCATAAAACACCATGAATACCTTCACCAAGTACCTGTTGTGTATTAGTCTTGGGCCAGACCACAGGGAGCTAACATCTCAGAAAGGGTATTAATAAGCCCACTCTATAATCTACTTTCTAACCAGAGGGGACAGGAGTGACTCCTGAGCCAAGGGTGGGGATAGACTATCAGTGATTCAACAATGTATATATGAAAAAGAGGAGGTTCTGACACCCAGCGCTTCTGGTCCATGAAGGGTCTGCTTGAGCAGGATGGAACAGAAGAAACACCCTTTTTCTAGTCAGGAATACCTGATGAACAAGGCAAGGTCTCTTTTCAACCAAGAGAAGGAGCTTGGGAGGCTGCTAAGATACCGGCAGGAAAACCCCTTCGCAAACGTCAGGGATAGGGAGCTTTCCAGAAGGCTGTTACCTCTCCCAGATCCCTGTACCATCTGTTCTTAAATCACCCTGCTCCTACTGTTCCCCTGGCCAGTGTGTCCCCAAGCCTTGAAGGCAAAGAGTCCCAGAGACTGAGCACAGAGAGAACAATTGGTTCTTACCACCCCTTGCTGCCCCCTCACCTTATCTTCCAGCCGAAGATCATCTGGCTGAAGAACAAGATGGATATTCAAGGCAACCCCAAGCACAGAGCCCTCACCCACCTGGGAATCTGCTCCCTAGAAATCCGCAAGCCTGTTCCCTTTGACGGGGGCATCTGCACGTGCAAGGCGGTTAATCCCCTGGGGGAGGCGTCCGTGGACTGTCGGGTAGATGTGAAAGGTAAGGGCAGAATTCACACTTTAGGGTGCATCACCTCCTCCCTCCATAGGTGGAAAAGTGGAGAGCAGAGACACAAGCCTATAGGGAGGAGGGCTCGGCTCGCTTCCCCCTTCAGGCCTTCTCATCACTGTCATCATCAGGATATATTTGAGGAGCTGTCTTTATCCACTATCTCATTTTTCACCATCATCATTCTTAATATAGGAAGAATTGCTTTCTGTTCTTCAAAGGAGAAACCTGAAGCACAGAGAGGTAATCAATCAGTTTACTGGAGATTTCCAGTGTTGGTTAATTGAGGAGCTGGTACTACGATGAAAATAGGCCAAGTCTCCTGGACCTCACCTGGATCGTTTTTCTTTAATCTATACAATCTTCTGACTCAGTCCAGGAGGGCTATAGCTCTTTGTTGGGCTTTAAAGCAAACTAGAGGACTTCCTGTCTCTGATTTGTTAAGAGGGACTATTGCACATCCTCTCTACCTCTTTTAAAGTATTCATTCATTTATCCATTCTTGTCACCTTGCTTAGATCTCCATCATTGCATTTAGCATATTATTTTATAGGTATCTATTTACTGATCTGTTTTCCCATAAACTGTGAGGATTTCAAGGGCAGGGACCATCTTTTTCGCCTTTGTCCCCCAGTGTCGAGCCCAATTTCGGACACACAGTGGGCATTCTCTAAGTATGTGTAGTATGAATCAGGAATGATTGGCCATTACAAGTCCTATTCTTCTCTATGCATAGACTAATTAGCACCATGGACTCCCGAAAAACCTGGAAGTATATCCCTTCCCAATGCTCCAAAAGAAGGTTTCCCAGAGATTTTAACAGTGAAAAATGTCTAAATTCTTGCAGCTCCTAACTGAGGCACCATAAGAGGACATGGGCAATTCTGAGGAAGGTAAGGAAAGAGGGACAAGGGGTATGAATGGAGTATTTCATGTTTAGGGCTAGTGTTGTTGAATCTGGGACAGATAATCTATTCCTGAGCCTTTCAATCATACACTCACTGGTGACCGCTTTTCTTTCAATCACTTTTGTTGGTAAGCTAATACTAGCATCCCTGTGGAGGGAATTTACTAAAAACGAGGTCTAATTTTGTCACATCCTCTGTCTATCTGTACTCCTCAAATTGATGGTAGGAATTAAATCTAATGGCCCTCTGAAAAGTGGCAGTATCTACCTAACTGTAAGGGGGTTTGTGGGAGGCAGGTGGGTAGGTGCTATAAGAAAAGGTGTCAAGGAAACAATCAGGAGTGGAGGATGGCTGACAGTCACCCCTACTGCATGGTGACAGCATGGAAAAGGAGGGAGGAAGATGCTCCTGTCAATTAAGTGTTTCTACTTCAGTATCTTAAGCATGGTGAAAAACAGATTAGTTTGCTTGCTTTTACTTTGAAGTTTCTGGATTCCTTTCCTTTCCAAGAGAAGAAAACCACCACTATCATTATATGTCAATAATAATCGAACATGTGGGTATGTGGTCTGAAGTAGCACATTATTGGCAAAGGGCCTTTCAGATCATCATTTAGCATTTGATAACTCCTTCAGATTCTAAATCATTCACAGTAGAAATGTTGTGTACAAACTGGTGAGTGATATGAAAAGGAGGCTCATGAGAGAATTGGAGAGAACTGGTTCCCAACGTCTCCTCTGACTTGCAGCTTCCGGTTGATAAAAACCAAGAATGAATTCCATCCCAGAAAACATTTACTTAAGCCTCTCACTGATACAGAGCAAATGAAAACCCTAAGGGATGCATTAAAAGTACAGGCTTCTCAGGAGAGCTCTCCCTGCCAGTTGGCTTGCAAAGCCAGTTCTCTCGCCATCTCTCCATTCCCTCTCTGCGTTAAGGTTAAGGTTAATGTTAATGTCATGTTGTTTTGGTGTTAGCCTTGTTAGTGTTAGTTGCCCTCTTATGTCTCTCCCAGCCAGTGCCAGCCACTAAGCCGGGTAAATTCAGAGCACAGGACCGAGGGACTGTGAAAGGGGGTTGCCTCTGCATCCTGGATGTGCTCTGGCTGTTTGCTGTTACGGTCACAACATCCCCTCTCTTTTCTGTGCCTCCAGGAAGCCTGACTGTGGTGAGATTGTGTTCTTAAGGAGCTCCAGCACAGTGTCTGGTTTGCACTAATCTAAATAAAGGTGCGACTCCTCAGTGCATAAGTGTCCATCTGTTTGAGCCTTTCCATATGGAAAACCATTGAGAAAGCTGGAATCCTTTAGCCAGATCGTATGGAATCTGCATACCCCCAGACTCTCCTTTCTCTTCCCATATCCACCTTCTCTTTCACAGAGGTTTCTAACACTGTCCTTTTCTCTGGACAGTCTATGACAACTCTATACAGTACCAGGTGCTCAAAGCAGTGCTGAAGATGACTTGTTCTCTTCCTCTCTGTGCTTTCCAGTTTAAGTTGGAAAACAGAATGCACATCTATCACACAGACACAGACAGCAGGACATAAATGTACATATAACTAATTAAAGGCAGAGCACTAAGATGTGAGGGCTGGGAGATACTGAAGAAACTGGAGCAGAGTCTCATTAAACCCTGAGGAAAGAATAAAGGGGAGGTGCTCTTGCTTACACTTTTCATTCTTCTAACAAACAAGATATTGAAGGTATCCTGTGATGGAGTTTGCAAAAGATAGTGACAATTCCTCCCATCCCAATATGGGCATGGTATTCTTCTTCCCAACAAGAATTGGAGCCTGTTTCTCCTCCCCTTGAATCTGGGCTGACCATGTGACCTGCTTTGACCACAAGAATATAGTGGAGGTTATGCTATGGCAGTTCTGGGGCTAAATCTTAAGACGTCTTGTAGTTTCTACTTTTGCTTTTGGAAGTCAGCTCCCCTGTACAGAATCTCAGGATAGATTACTGAATTATGGGAGGCTGCCTGGAGGACAACTAAGCATCCCAGCTGACAGCCAGCACCACAGCCCTAGACATGTGTGGCCACCTTGGACCCCTCAGCCCTAGTGAGGCTCAATCTACTCCTCGTGTAGAGACAGGTTATTCTTGCACAGCCCTGCCCAAATGGTAAGATCATGAGATGAATATTTGCTGTTGCTTCAAGCCACTAAATATTGCGTAACTGAAACAGCTTTCTAGGCATCACTGAACATCAGGCTTTTAATCTTCGTTTTACAAATGAGTAACTTCAAGCTTATAAACTGTTCCAAGTCATGTATCTGGAGAGCTGAAGTTCTAGGATTTGAACCAGGTCTGTTTGACGTCAAGCCTTCCTTACTTCCTCCCATCTCTTCTACCCAGTGACTCCACTGCATGGGTCTGAATTGGAATTATGGGTTTAAGAAAGAAAAGATTTCTAGGTGGTAGTAAATATTAGGAGAGGTTTTGAGGAGGAAGGGGATATGTTTGGCTGAGTGTGAAGAGCTTTTCTTTTCAGACCAAAGGTCTATTTTCAGTTGACGCCAAGCATCTATGTATTCCAGCCTTTCTCAACCAGAGTTCTATGAGAATTATGAGAATCCCAATGTACCCAGCATTCATTGTATGTCATAAATCAACTTCTTCCTGTGCACCTAGAATGTTACTAGTTGCATAGCATCCTTGGAAAAATTGAGAAAATAGTCACACAAATCATTTGTAGGGTCTAATGCACTTGTGGAATCCCTGCTGAAAATGTTGAGAGGGAGGTTGGGGGCTGGGGGCAGAGTCCAGAGCCAGCCAGTCATGTACACAATGACTAAGAGGCCTCCCTCCAGCTGAAACAGGGCATAGGTCAGGAAGGAGTGAAATACTCCCAGCTATGCTGTCCCAAGGATCAGTCAGACTCTGGTCTCAAGCCACAGTCCCATGCCTCAGCTGTTTGTTGAAGTGCTCAAGGGCCATCTCTTAAAGTTCTTATATTCTCAGCCTTCATGGTGAATGAGTAAAATCTTCACATTGAACAAGACCTCCAGTCACAGGTAATCCTTCTGCATTCAAGGAGAACTGCACTGGAATCCTTAATTTTTTCATTTATGCAGGCAATACTACATTCAAAGTACCTTCTGAACTAAGGCTTACCCTGTGCGGGAGGGTGGGGCCAGGGTGGAGGGGTGTAATTTCTTCATTAATTCATTTCTTCACTATTTATGCAAAATCTTAAACACCTATTCATACATATTATTTTGGAGTTGAACTGGGGGAAACAGATATTTCCCAGGTTAGTGGCCTTACGCTGAGTGAAGAATTCTTGTGCCTGAAATCTATATACTCTGGCTTTGTTGTCATTCTGCTGGAGGAGAAAGTAGATGCCTTTTTCTTTGTACTGCAACAGCTTTCAAAATCATAACTTGGCAATAGAAAATTGGAGATGAGTTTCTTTAGGAGAAACGATCTTCCAATTTGCTAAAACTGCCTCCTTCGCTTACCTGAAGGTGGATGAAGACTCTCCCTTCTCAGGCTGCTCCTAGGGGAAGGAAGAATGTGGTTAACGAACAGCTTCTTTCTCTCTGATCGCCAATTTGCCACTACCTGCCTGGAGAGAGGGAAGCTACTAGCTCTGGTTTTCTCACCTCCAAAGAATCTGAACTCTGCAGGGAACTAAAATTCCACCTTCACAGGGAACCTACAGAAAGAGAGGCAACCCTCTTCTCTCAGCTCTTTCTCACACAAGCCTGCATGTTCTGGGCCTCCCCATCTTATCACACCACTAAATCCCAAGGTTCCTTTGCTTCTTGTGGTATTTATTACAATTAACATCTCACTCCTCCGAACTACACTACCCGGCAACTTCACAACTAAAAACTAGGAAGTAAACAAAAAGCTTATAAAAAGTCAAAATAATGGTCATAAAGTCAGGAGACTAAAAGCTCAGGCTCTTTGTTTATGGGAAAGCTCGTCAACCATTCTTTTAGGGCCTTTTAACTTAAAATCTCTAGAACATTTCTAAGTTCTGTTAACTGGTGGCCCAGTCTATTCACAGGCAACCCCTGGAAACAACAAAGAAAATCCCTAATAAATAGGTTTAAGCTTTTTATAAACACAGCTTTTAGTTTAGAGGAAGCAAGTCCCAAACACTACCCTCAAAAGCCCTTAAGGCACACAGTATAAAACCTGATGTTCATAATTATGCTCCTAACACATACTGTGACTGTCATGATCCACTGAGATAAGCGAGGGGTCAAAGATAAGCCCAGAGAGGTCAAATATATACAATATGTTTGTCAACAGAGGAGCCACGGTTGAATTTGAACCCAAATTTCCCTGTCTGAAAAGCCCGTTGTTTTCTTCACACCTCGGGTGCCTCAAGTTCCAAATGTTCTTGCCTAAAAAGCCGATGGAAGATGCACTTCTTAGAGAACCTCAATATACTTAAAATATGAATGTTCAATTGCTTCCGAAATTTTGGAAAAATCAGAACTGAGGAATCCGGCAGATCTGCTTCCAAAAGGAGTGAGCCCAAGGAAACGTCTTTTCTCAGACAGAGCGTTCGTTTTAGGGCGGACGGCCGTGAGAGGCGTCAAAGGAGGGGGCGCAGCAGAGGGGGTGGCAGGGCGCGAAGCCCTCACTCATTGGCCCATTATCTCGCGCGCCGCCGCGAGGCCCCGCCCCTCAAGGTCTCCCGGGCACGCGCGCGCGCTCGCGGCCTCCCCCTGCAGCCCTCCGGATGGCGCCCACCTTCAGACTTCCGGCCAGCTGCCCCCCACGCCGCTCCGCCCCACGAGGGCGGGGAATGCTGACCCCCACCAATCATTGAGCGTGTATGGTAAGATGGGCGGGGCTTGGGATATTCGAAAGGCGCCCGCCCCCTCGAAGCTGATTCCCGGGACTAGATTGTAGGAGGAAAGCATCTTCCGCGAGAGGTGAGTCGGCTAGGAAAGTGCAAACTGAAGGTGGGCTGGGGTGTGATGTGGCTGTAGTGCCGCGGGGAGTAGAAAGGTGGCTTGGGGAGAGGAAGAACCCGGAGGATGGTGGCCGGGGGGAAGATAGGGCGTGTGGACCACCCCAGCGTGGAGAGGTCCGGTCGCAGGGAGGCGGGGGCGAATGTGCGGAGGGAGAAAGGAGTGCAGGGTAGTTGTCCGAACCTGCCCGCACCTGCCTGCACCTGCCCGCGCCTACGCGCACCTGCCTCGGAGGTGACAGGAGTATTTACACGGGCAGGTGCTACTCCTGGGACGCTTGCTTTACCTCCAGCACGACCCCCAAGCCCTGGCTTGCACCCTGAGTCTAGCTGGGAGGTCTTGGGCAGGATGGAGACCTGAGGAAAGGTATGTTTTCTCTCCAGCTCAGGCCTAAGCAGACTCTTGCTCCTGTGGCTGGAACATGGAGGATTTAGAAGAAGGTAAGGAAACCCTGGAGGAAACAATGAGGCCCTGTGATGGAGAGCGGTGTTAGGGACCCAAGGCTGGCGTTTCTTCTTTCCTTCCTTACAGGTGTAAAGTTTATAGTGGATGAGACCTTGGACTTTGGAGGGCTGTCACCATCTGACAGGTAGTAGACTCTATCCTACTTTCTCCAATGATGCTTGTCTCTAACCCCTTACAGCTGAATTATTGGCCTCAGGCCTGAATTGGTAATTTAGCAAGGTTGGGTGTGCTGGGGCTTCTGGGTGGCTGTTTGACTTGGGCCCCTATTACACTACTGGGAGAGGGGAGGAGGGATAAGCAGGAATGAGATTTCAGGGTGTTAAGAAGAAGGATAAGTGGATTTGCTGCATCTTCATCCTGACATAATTTCCAATGTCAGTAAGTGCTGAAGGCCTCGTAGAACCAGGTGTTTCATCACTTAGATCTCACAGCCAGCATGGGCATCAGGGTTTGGGGGTGTGTCCCTGGCTCTGTTGTCTGGGTTTTGCCCAGTCTCCCTTGCACAGTCTCCTGTTCCTTTCCATGTGGGCATGGTGCCTGGTTTGTTTTCTGTCTCAGTCGAGAGGAAGAAGATACAGCAGTGCTGGTGACTCCAGAGAAACCCCTCCGACGAGGCCTCTCCCATCGAAGTAACCCAAATGCAGTGGCCCCCGCCCCCCAGGGTCCGAGACTCAGCTTAGGCCCCCTCAGCCCAGAGAAGCTGGAAGAAATCCTTGACGAGGCCAACCGGCTGGCAGCTCAGCTGGAGAAGTGTGCCCTGCAGGAGCGGGAGAACGCGGGCGAGGGCCCGGGGCTTCGAAGGGTGAAGCCCAGCCCTCGGCGAGAGACCTTTGTGCTCAAGGACAGTCCTGTCCGAGACCTGCTGCCCACTGTGAGCTCCTTGGCCCGGAGCACCCCCTCCCCAAGCAGCCTGACACCCCGACTCCGGAGCAGCGATAGGAAGGGGTCAGTCAGGGCTCTTCGGGCAACACCTGGAAAGAGGCCCTCCAGCGCAAAAAGGGTGAGTTTAGAGGTTTGGGGTTGGATGTGTGTCCCCAGATACAGTGCATGACTCAGTATAGGCATATCGTGGTTTCCTTGTTGATAAAATAGGGATAGTCCAATCCTACCTCATAGAATTGTTGGAATTAAACAAGATACCATAAGCAAAGTACTTACCTCAGCATCTGTGTATAAGCGCTGTAATGTCTATAATAAGCTCTCAATAAATGGCATTGGTGGTGGTGGTGATGATGTTGGCAGCTAACTTCTGCTCTTCCTTACTGGGATCCAGGCAACTCTCCACCTCTATCCCTTAATCAGCCAGCAGAACAGATTCTTTTTCCATCCTAGTCCTTTTTTCTCTTTGTGTTTCAGGAGTCGCCCACTTGCAATCTGTTCCCTGCATCCAAAAGCCCAGCATCTTCTCCTCTTGCCCGATCAACGCCTCCAGTCCGGGGGAAAGCTGGGCCCAGTGGGAGAGCAGCAGCAAGTGCGAAGGCCTGGGCAGCCAAGCTCTGGGTGAATGGGAGGAGGGAGGATGTGGAGCTTCCCTAAAATTCCTCTGCTCCTCTCCACCAGACCCACCTACCCCTGTCAGACCAGTCCTGGCCCTGCAACCTCCTGCCAGCAACACTCAGCGCCCATCTCGGCCACAAGGAGCAACTGCTAAACCTCCCAGTCGACCACCTGGCCCATCAGCCATCCCCAGGCCTGCCAGCAGGATGCCACTCACTGGCCGGAGTGTACCATCCAGCAAAAGTGCCCTTCCTGCAGATTCCCTGTCAACTCGGAAAGGACTTCCAAGACCAAGTGCCGCAGGGCACAGAGGTGAGGAAAATGAATACAAGAAGTCAGGAGGAAGAATACCACACCCTCCCAGAGCTGGTAACAGTGACCTTCTCCACCTTCGTTACAGCTCTGTTTGAAGACGGGGAGACTGAGTTAAGGCGAGAATATGGGCCTTGGCAAAGAGTTTGAGCCTCAGTTTTCAAATACCTTATGTTTTTTAGCTTGGGTGGGAAGAAAGGCACTAATCCCAAACTCACTCTGCCTTCATCGGTGTTTTGTTTTTGTTTTTGTTTTGAGAAAGTCTCTTGAACCTTCTGATAACCATGTCTTTTTTTAAACTCCCATCCAGTTCCTGTTTCTCAGCGACCAAATGTTCCTGTCACTGGTGCTGGTCGCAGCAATCTGCAGCCCCCCAGGAAAGTTGCAGTCCCAGGACCTACCAGGTAAGACAGGTTGAGATGCTGTCTCTCTCTCCCCTGTCATCTGGGCTTCCAAGCTGTTATGCACATCAGTCCCGAATCCTGTGTGGCAAGATAGGGCTGAGGAGGGGAGCCTGGAGGGGTGAGGAGTCCCATTTCTTCCTACCTGGAAGAACTTGAATTCAGCTGGTGACAAATGGGCTTGTGAAAGAGGGCAACTTAAAGCAGTTCCTCCTTCTGTCTCTTTAGGTAAAGAGAGCAGGACAGCAAGCAAGAATTCAGTAGCAAACCACTACAGTCAGTCACTGCCTGGACTCGCCTCTTCTCGGCCTCCTAAGCCCTGTCTTTGGAGGCAGGCCTGACTCCAGCACATTCTGGCCCAGAGATAGGAGGAAGAGCTGCCACCACAACTGGTGCCCCAGGAGTACAAACCATGGGAGATGGGGTGGATTAGGGTTGAGGTGGAGGGAAATCAAAGTCTGAGTTGAAGCAAAATAAGAAAAAGAGGTGTTTAACTTCACCACTCCCAGTGGTGAAGTTAACAACCAGAAAACGAGAACTGCCAGCGAGTGGTTTGTCCTCATCCACCCCCACTCTTGCATCCAACCCCAGAGTTTGATCTTCCCGGGCACCAGTTCAGGGCATGGGTTCACTGGACATTTACATATGAGTGGCCTCTGTAGCTAACCTCCCTGCTCTCCGAGAAGCAGTCCTCCTGAATCACATCCTCTACTGGACTCCGGCCTGTTTGGAGAGGCAGAGGCAGGCATCTGGTCTCCAGAACTTGTTTCCTGTGAATTCTGTGGCTCCTAACAGGCCAGTTTATGATAAGCTTACTTCAATGGTATTCATTTTTCTAAAATAAAATGAATATATTTCTATATTCTCTGTGCATGTGAAAGTAAGTCCTGCTCTAATTTCTAACAAATTTCGAGTAAATGCCTGTATAATTCCAGTGAGTTGAGCCAGGATGGGCTTCCCAGGCAGGGGTCTGACAAGGCCCTTGGGCCTTGAGATTCCAGCTAATTAGCCTATGACTAGCCCCCTTGTTGGCATTAGTTGGGAACAGACTGCCTTTTTCCAGGCATTTCCAGGATTCATGTTATTAGAAGGTCCAGATCAACTTAAGTATAGTTTGATTCACAGTATATGAGGCTATCAAACCAAGGTTTTGGTAAATTATTACTTATCTCCTAAACGTGGGTGTCCTTTCCTGGCAAGAGAATGGAGCCTCCTAGGACCTCCTCAGGATCTTGTCTGCTGTACGGATGGGATGAGGGGGCCCTTGGGTGAGTACCCTGGTGTTTGGCTTTGCTGATCGCCTCAGGCAGAAGGTACCTGAACACCTGACATCGTTAGAATTGCTGATATTCTCTTTTTCTCTCCCCTACTAGACTTGAGGGCTGGCACCAGGACTTACAAACCTCTGCAGTGCCTAGTGTTAACGATTTATGTGTGGCAGAGAATTTCATTCATTCATTGAAAAAAAGATTTTGAGTGCAGGATGGGAGTGTTTGTTGAATGAATGACCAAGACTCATTTAACAGACTTAACCAAGGGTCTCCCTTTTCTCACAGCCTATGATTCTTGCAACCAGAACCAGCTCAATTCCTTGTGAGTTTTGAGAGGACTTCTCTCCCTGGAGGCCAGGCCATGACTTAAGGAAGGCAGCAGGCGACTGGGCAGAGGGAGCTGGTGCCCTGCCCTCCATACGTTTACACGCCCACGGGCTCCCTGCTGAGGCACTAAAATACCCATCCCCTGTTCCCAGGCCAGGGGCCCTCCACTGCTTTCTTCTTTTTGCAGCTGATCTTAAGGTTCATTTAACACATTCACCTGTATCACAGTGACAGCTGCCTAGCCTTTCACCTTCCCTGGGCCTCTTGCAGCAACTCCCGCACTCTGGGATTCCGGCATTGAGTTGGGAGAGGGGGTGTGGAGACAGACACTGAGTATTTGGCTCTGGAGAAATTTGGCAGAGGCAAGGAAATCTCAGGTGTGTTTCCCAGCTGCGTCTTGCACTGGTGTCTGGTGAGCAGGGCCTGTTGGTGACAGCCTGCTCTGACAGAAGCAAGCGCAGGCACACGTTTAGGTGTGGCCAGCAGATGGCACGTTTGTGTGGCCTGGGTGAGGGCCAGGCCCTGGTGGGTCCTCAGAGGCAAAACAAGCAGACCTGTGTCCTGGTGCCACCTGGTGGCCGAAGAGGACAAGGCATGTAGTTCCTCGCCCTCCAGGTCAGTATAGTTTTACCAGCCCCTCCAATCTCACTGCTAATCTGCTTAAGCAGCATTGAGAAGGCAGTGCCAGCTGGGGAGGAGGCCTGCCTGCCACAGCTGCCCTTCTGCTCACTACCTGCTTCCTTCCTTCCCTTTTGGTTGGGCTTTCTACTTTTTCTCTTTATGCATTCTACCTCCACCCCCGCCCAGCAGCACCAGCGAGGGCCTCTTACTATGCACTGTGAACTGTTCTAAGCACTTTACGTGTGTTAACTCATTTAATTCTCATAAAAGCTCAATTAGGCGGACGCTATTATTATCCTCACTTCGCAGGCAGAGAAACTAAGGCTCAGAGAGATTAAGTCTCTCAGTCTGGTTCCAGGGTTTGTGTTCTCCTCTATTGTCCCCATGCGAACTCTTTTCAGTTTGTGGATAGATCTGCAAAAAACACAAAACTTGGGAAAAGAAGTAATGTGGACGAGCACAGAGCTGGCTAGAGTATGAGTAGCTGCTTCAGTTCCAATGGGGAAGAACACTAGATGGCCCAGAGAAGTGAAGTCAGGAGCACCTTTCCATTCCTACCAGCCTCTCAACTCAGCTCTCCCTGCCTCTTGAATTCTGCTCCCAGGACAGGACTCAGCCCTGTGGGCTAAGCTGGAATCCTGCCTGCTCTGTGCAACCTCTCCAGTCACACAAGTCCCTCCTGTTCTGGTAGAAAGGATACTTTCCTGCCATTAGCCACATCTTCCAGGGCATGGGCTCTGTGCTGAGGAGGGTGTTTGGGGAGCACTGTCGGGTGTTGGTGGAGGGGCTAAGCTCATGAGCCACTATCTATCTGAGTCCCCTGACCTCCTGGTCCTTCCAGGGCCCTACCTGCTCTTATTTTCCAGAGACCAGGCCCCTCTCCCTCTGGGAGGACAGGGCCCCACACAGAAGCACATGGTGACAATGCTCAGCCCGCACAGAACTAGTTTATTCAGTAGTATGGGGAAATGAAAAAACAAAACACAAAATCCTACCATATTTACAGGAACAATCAAAACTGTACAATCAGATGGTTAGTATCAAGTTAGCATCCAGCATCTTTGTATTTTTTAAGTCAAGTCATCAGTAGTAAAAACCAGTGAAGTTTTTAACCTTTTGTAGGAACTGCTGAGGGGAGAGGCCAGGGGGGTAATTCATGGCAGAAAAGCCAGAGACCAGCCTTACAAATGAGAAACGGGAACACTTTTTTTTCCCCTGCCATAGCCTCTTTTTCAAGCCACCTGCTCCAGAGGAAAATTGGTGACAAGTCTGGAATACATGCTTAGCATAAACGGTGACTCGAATAACAGTTGGCAAAACAGGAAGGAGAGAAGAGGTGGGGAGATGACAGCCTGGAGCAAGGGGAAGGGACTCAGGCCCCCTCGCCAGGACTGCTGGGTATATACCCAACCTATAATGGCCACATCAGACCCCCTGGGACTGGGCACAAACCCATCCCAACACAAAAGGCAAATAAATAAAAAATATATATTAACTCTCTCTTCACAGGGAGCTGGGTGGCAAGGGGAGAAAGGAATGGGACCTGGTCCTTTGAAGAAGAGAGCCAATTCCAAGAAGGGGTTAAAAATAGAACATATCTCAGGCCACAGCAGGTCAGTGGGGTTTGTCTGGTCTCCGAGGGTGACCTGGACTGGAGGCGGCTAGGGGCAGCCGGGCCAGCCCTGTCTGTCCTCTTCCTCCCCATCCCACCCGCACAACAGCAAAGAAGCGCAACTTAACACATGACTGGCCCTCCCCGGTGTGGGTCAGGCAGGGAAATGAAGCACTTTTGGGTCAGCGAACTGAGCAAACACCCAGACTGCAGCGCACGGCCGGAGCCCAGGGAAAGGAGAGGGGCTGGGGAGGCCCGGCTGCCGCCCAGGGGCACGGGTTCCCCTCAAAACGTGTTCATGCAGCATTTGGGGGTCCAGGGGTGCTGAGTCCTTCTGCCCCCTCTCCGGACAGGGCTTTTTCAGTTCCTGGGAGGGGTGGCAAAGGCCGGGTGAGGGGAGCCCTCGGCCCTGCTGCCCTCACCACACTGAG